GGACATTGCAGCCTTTGATGGATTCGTATCGATTATAAATAATTCAGAGCGAAGGAGTCAAGTTACACGCGGGCCCGAAGCTACAGTCCATGCTGAAGTTCGGCCCACCAGCCGCTGAGAGTCTCTCGTTTGAATACGGTGCCCTGGAGTGCACAATCGAGGTGGGTTGATGACGATTCCGACTGAATGTAAATTTCTGTGATGTGTAAGAGGTCGAAAAGCCTGAAAAAATCAAACCTAATGGGATACACAACCAAACGCTACAGACTTGGACCAACATGCCCTTTCGCATTCCAGATTGTAGACAACGTCGAGGAGGCCGTTGCCCATATCATCCGATATGGATCGGGTCACACCGACTCAATAATCACGGATAACCGTAAGGCCTTCAGTTCTTGCGGGAAATCTGATATAGGCGAGACGGCCGAGCACTTCGTGCAACATGTTGACAGCGCATGCGCATTCCACAACGCCTCGACCAGATTTGCCGACGGCTACCGTTTCGGCCTCGGTGAGGGTTATGGCGCTAAAGTTTTAGCATTACATGCATGCGGCCATCGCTTTCTGACAATTTACAGGGGCCGAAGTTGGAATCTCGACGGGAAAAATTCATGCACGAGGACCGGTTGGCGTTGAAGGTAAGCGCAAAAATATATGGGAAAACAAATTGGTAAAATAGACGCCGTGCCGTGTTTCAAAATAAAATTGGGTTTTTTCAGGTCTCCTGACGACAAAATGGATTTTGCGCGGCGAAGGCCATGCGGTCGCCGACTTCTCGGCCGATGGTCGTTTCCGCTACATCCATGAGGTTCTCAACCATCAAGAGGTGCCTATGGACAGAACCTCCAAATCAAAACAACTTCCGTTTTCAGGTATATCGGGAACTCGACGCGCCAAAGATTGCGAAGAGCGCCTAATCACGCGAAGCGACACACATAAAGCGACATCCAAACGACAACACAATTTGCTCATTCTTACTGGTGTGGGGGATTTTATTTGGGATCGATGTTCTTTGGGGTTTCGTATAAATTTTAAAACGTATTGGAAGTACTTTATTGCTTTAAAGGAGCACTTTCAGCAGCTTTTTTTCCATGAATCGTGGAAAAATTTGCATGCGAGATGTTTGTCTCAATGGGCATGCTCTCTCACCGGAAATGCATCGGAATTTTTCCACAATTCATGAAAAAAACGGCGCTGCGGAAAGAGCCCCTTTAAGGGTACACCAAAGCCTCGTTGGGTTGGATACCGGCCGGTAACCGTCCGCGGGATAACAAACAGCGTTGCGGTAGGGGCTCGCCACGGAGCAAAACCGAACCAGCGCCATTCGCCTGGGGCAAACGTCTTCCACCACTAGGCCATGGGACAGACGGAAGATGGGAGAGGGGAGGGGATAAGAAGGGTCCAGACGTTCGGCGGCAAAGAGCCCGAATTCCCGACCGCGACCTTATTTTTTTGCACGAGATTTTAGTGTACCTTTAATACACAGTACCTTACCCGGATACTGAAAGTACTTTAAGCATAACCCGGTTATGGAAAAAGCTAGCTCATCAATCGATATCTGCGTCACAACTGAAGCGCCACAATCGATAACGCACAGGGATGCACCGGGTGGGGAAAGACCTTTCTCATTTCCCAGGGGTCCAAAGGGCGCCGGGATCAAAATCTCTCACGACAGACTAATTGAAAGCCCCCACGCAGAGACAGCCCGATGAAGGGGGGTACGGTAGCCCGCCAATGAACGTTCCGCGGGGGAGACAGGGAGAAGAATGGCTTCATAAATGCTGTCTGAGTTTTGTCGGAACGAATATTTTGGCAAAGTCTCAGGCATCCGTTTCGTATATAAGAGATGCGCCTGTGAAACCTCGTTACAGGCGAGACCTATGCATATAGACCTTGAAATGACCGGCACTTCCCGCGCATTGGATTTAGCATCACATTTAAATTCGATACCAGTATATAGATTTGAAATGGAATGCTACCGTATGAAACCGATGCGATGAGTGCTAAGAACGAAACGCACCTGCGCGGATGTAATGGGTCTTTTTGAATAGTAGCACACTAATGTCTGGCGCGCCTTACCCGTTTTGAATGCTTGTCATTCATTATCAGCGTCGTGAGCTAATTTACCACGCAACAAGGTCAAAAAGTTACGAATACAACAGCGCCCAAGCAGCGGTGCGTTACTACGATGCGCCCAATGACCGTTCCTGCGAAAGCGCCGGCCACATTCGTGAGTGGTTGGGCGTGAAATTCGATAAAGTATCAAACGTCTAGAATAATTGCAATTTGATAAGGATTCCAGAAATAGCAGCTGAATTTTTGAATTCAAATGTTTTAATGTCCAAGCCGGGGCAAAAGGACATGCGGTCACGTTGCGGTCACATCTGGCTATTTGCCAGGCATCAACGCCGTGAGGCGTGTGGCGAGTAGATTTCTGGGTGCCGTTAAGCATCTTCAAAAACGTCCAACCGGTGCGTGTATCATTTTCCTGGTGCTCCAAAGGAGTGACTGAAATGATCTGGTACAGCCCTGTCCGTTATGGCAACAAAGTTTGAATGACGTGCCCCTCGTATGCGAGTTGCGAACAGGACGGTCATCAAAACAGGGTGTAGTTTGTAGTGATTGTAGTATTTATAGGGCAGTGACCGTAGTCTTGGCTGTGTCTCTGCTTTGGGAAATGAGCCACGTGATATACAGGTGTGTGTGTGTGTGTGTGTGTCTGTGTGTGTGGGGGGCGGTCGGGATGGGAGGGGGGAGAGTGAGCGAGGGAGGGCGTCCCCGGACCTTTTTCGTCTTCTCCCCATCCCTATCATCTATAAGCGCAACCCTGTCACCACTTGACTGCCCTCACTCACCATCACACCAATCGCGACACGGCGCCCTTACTGTTAGATACTTCTTTATAAATTCCTCTATGTTTCTAATACAGGGTGTCCCAAATCCCACCGCCCCACTTAGCGGTCCGCCAAGTCCGATTTGTACGATTTAGCTATCTATGGAAGCACTCAAAAACGCGAGAAAACAAGGAGGGTGAATTTTCTTTATTATGTATTTTTATGGCGAATTTTATGTCCAAAACCATGAAAACTGCTGATTTATGCAAACAATATATCCGCATGCTAATTACTAAATCCTACTATCCTACTATATATAAAAAAATAGTGTTTGTGTGTTTGTGTGTGTGTGTGCCACTTTGCATGCAACTTCCGTCAGGGTGTCCGGAGGATATCTCGATAGGGGATGAATTTTTGGGTATGTATGATACGTCATTAGGTGCGTGATGGTGCTGAGATGACTGCACACATGTTAGATTTTACAAAATCAACGATTTTCGACATTAAATTCAAGTTTTTGTTAAAAAATCGGCGACCCTCTTTGCTAGGAAAAAATTAGCATGCGCCGGAAGTCCCGGTGGCCTATATAATGGGGTAGAGAGCGCAATTTTCATTTTTTCCATCGGAAACCCAGAGATTATGCAAAGTTAAGTATATCCGTGCGATCAGACAGGGCAAGGGTTGAAAAGTTTCCGCAAAAAAAAAAAAAAAAATAATTTTTTTTTTTTTTTCAATTTTTTCTCCCCCCCCTCCCCCCTCCCTATATATATATTTTTTTTTTTTTTTTCTTTTTTTTTTCAAAGATTTCCAAAACCCCCCCCCCCCCCCCCCCCCTTCCACCCCTCCAAAAAATAATTTTCTTTATTTTTCCCCTTTTAAAAAATCCCCACACCCAAAAAAAAAAAAAACCCCTTTTTTTCCTTTTTTTTAATCCTCCCCCCCCCCCCAAAAAAAAAAAAATTTCCCCCAAAAAAAGGGAGCATTTTTTTTAAACTAATTCTTTATTTCACCCCCCCCCCCTTTTACCCCCCCCCTTCCTCCCCTCTTAAAAACCCCCCCAAAAAAAAAAATTTTTTTTTATATATAGTAGGATATGATACGTCATTAGATCCGTAATGGCTCTGGGATGACTGCACGCTTATCAGATTTTACAAAACTAATTGTTTTAAATATTAAATTTCAGTTTATATACAAATTTCGGCCACCCTCTTTGTTAGGAAACAATTAGCATGCACCGGACGTGACGGTAGCCTATATAATCAGGCAGAGAGTGTCATTTTTCATTTTTTCTCTTCGCAATTCGAAAGAAATATGCAAAGCGAAGAATTTTATGGGGTTAGACGGGGCCAGGGTTGAAAAGTCGCGAAGCGGCTTTTCAACCCTGGTTCCTGTTGAAAAATTACCCGTTTTGTCGAAAAACCTTCAATATTGCATATTGATGGAAATAGGTTTAATCTTGCAGTAAAGTGTTTTTGGTCAGGATGAAATTCGGTTCGGAACCAAGCCTATCTTGTGCAGAATTTTTCACTGATTCCGATTGGATCTCCAAATCTGCAGAATAGTTCTGGTTCGAAATTTATGACGTTTTTCAGTCCATTTTAAGCAAAAATTGGAGAATTTCATGCTCAATTATTTTGATCTTCCTGATTGATTTTGCTAAAAAATATTATTGTCATTTTATTCAGAATTTTTTTCTCTATCGGATGAGCTCCTTAACTCAAAATTGTCGAAAATCAAAAAATTTGACGATGGTTGGTATGGCCTCCATTTTTTGTATGGGAATCAGTTAGAAAAGTAAAACAAAAAAGGACGGCGTCATGGCCAATCCCTCCCGGAGGCCGAAAGCCGCACCTAAATGCTTCATAACTTTTGAATCCGAGTTATTCTGCAGTTTTGGAAATCGTATTCGGAATCAGCGGAAAATTCTGCACAAGGTAGGCTTGGTCACGAATTTCCATCCTGATCAAAAAAAAACTTTACTGTTAGACAAGGCAACCCGCTTGCTTTATCGCATCTATCTTTTATCTTATTTTATCTTTTTATTTTATCTTGATTTTAGTACCAGAAAATATTCCTGAACATTTTGTTGTATTACTTTACAATTTAATGGACCGGTCGTTTTTACTTACTGCAGCCTTTTGCCTCCCATTTCACATATTTCCAAACATGTGGAGTCGCGTTCACTATGTCAATATTTTTAGTATGTTTGCCGGACAGAAATTTAACGACAAGCGACCTGAAGTTTATGATTCCGACCATTCGCTTGGTGAAGAACATGATGAACCGGGCACTTCAAAGTAAGTATAGAGCTTCATTAGACTTGTTTTTCCATGAGTTAGCAACGTCGTAAAAGAGAAGGTGACGGTGTTTAAATGTGCTTTGTAAATGATCCACCGTTTCAAACAAGTTTTTTTGAGTTTTTACTTCTCCGAACTCAATCTCCAAGAGCTCGACCTCGACGTGATTCCGGAACGCTACGTGCAAGAGCAAGGCCTCTACACCCCGCTCAACTTCACCGCGCTCAACTTGTCGAAAAATCGGTTATTGTGTGCGCGGGAGATTCGTGCCTTTAAAAATGTCACTTTGTAAGTCCATTCGGCGATAATGAACGCCCAAAATTGTAGCCTCGATCTGAGCAACAACCAACTCGTCGAGCTACCGAAAGAAATTAGCGCGCTGACGTCGATTCGGACGCTGATCGCACGAAACAATTTGTTGGAAGAGGTTGGAAACGGCGGTTCACTTATTGTGAATCAAATCATACGAATTATTCACAATGACCCACCGGTTTCAGTTGCCGGGCACAATGGCCGCATTGGTCGAGATGGAATCGTTGAATTTAGCTGGGAACCGTCTGACCGCATTCCCCACCCCGTGCCTCAACATGCCACGCCTTCGTCAGCTTCAGCTCGGCGCCAATGAAATTCCAGAAATCCCACACGGTATCGGGTCTCTAGTAAGGTGAGAAATGACATTTGGAGATTCACCTCTATTTTAGTCTCGAATTACTCTACCTCGGCGGCAACCGTCTCGTCGAGATCCCGGCCACAATCGGGCTGCTCGGTCTGCTGTCCAATTTGAACCTGAGTGATAATTTGCTCGAATCGCTGCCCAGCACCGTCGCCGAGCTGCAGGAGCTCGAGATTTTGTCGCTGCACAATAACCGAATTCGGGTGGGCGAGAAAACGAGAACAAACAGTTTCCGCCCTCTACCCTTGTCTGACTTTTCAAACGTTCAATTTCAGACCCTGCCCACCGGCATCGTAAAGTTGCGCAACCTGGCACAGCTGACGCTTCGTGGGAACCCACTTGTTGCTCAATTCGTCAGCAACTTTCAGCTGGAACCGCCAAAGCTGAAAGAGCTTGCCGGCCGCGCCCTGCAGCGCAAGGTCAGCTTCCTACTGTTCTCTTTTGCTATTGCAAACAATAATTAACCATTCACAATTTCAGCTTGAAAGGTGGCGACTTCGCGAGATTTTGCCACGCGAACTGATTGAATACCTGAAGTCAGCCAACCAATGTGTCAACCCAAAGTGCAAGGTGAGCGTCGTCTAAAAATCCAGCAGATTTTTCGAAATTCCGCTCACTAAACGTCACTTAAATATTCCGGTTTTTTGATCCAAACGATCACACGTCTTTCATATGACAAAAACCATCTTTTTTTTCAGGGCGTCTACTTTGAAGCCTGCGTCGAGCACGTAAAGTTTGTGGACTTTTGCGGAAAGTATCGCGTGCCATTGCTGGAGTTCCTGTGGTGGGTTTCCAATTCCGCAAAATTAGCGATTTTAACTTTTTTTCTAAGTTGGCGGGGGATAACGAAGCTGGGCCTAAGCTAACAAGCCATAATCCAGCCTAGGGTAGGCTAAAATCAAGCCAAAGCTAAGCCTAGCCAAAGCCTAAACTAAGCCTATGCGAAGTTCAAGCCAAGCCCCAGTCTGTCTCGAACCCCCCCACTTTCATAACTCCAATCCTATTATAGCTCGCCCCGTTGTTCGAGCTCTGCACCGGCGTGCGTAACGAGTTCATCAGACACTGAAGATGAGGGGGAAGAGCGCGAAAAGATGATGCGAAAAGTGCTGCTCGGATAGCTGCAATCAATCCCTCGACCTCAACGGCCATATTTTTCGCGGGTTTTCGATTTTTGCGCGACCAAAGCGGCTCGTAGAATAAATTTGATTTTTGAATACGATTTTAAGCCGGCTGAAAATTCGGTAAAAAAATTGCTAATGGTTTTTGCGAAAACAAGAACCGCGATAGCGGGCAGCAGACAGCTGTCGGTTAATCAAGAGGTGCCTGATGCAATGGCTGACATGATTGCGTTCCCCCCGATTCCTCAGCATGAAAAACGCCCGGGCAGTAGCGATCTGCATGCCGGGTCAAAGTTTTCGAGCACAATAGACAAAAGAATAGCTTCCATCGGTATTATCGGCGGGGCCCAAATTTTTCTACGATCCCAGAAGTACTTAGTAACATTATCGTACCTTTCTAAGTGTTTTTATTTTCAATCTGACGCTATTTGAAGCGGAAAAACTACAGCATACACCAAAACAATTTGAAATTGCCGAGGATTGGTCAGTTTGGCCGAGAAATCGATAGTTTTAATAAAATTGCAGCGTTAAATTTCATTTTTTGTTCAAAAAGTAAATGAGCAGAGAGCGCATTTTTCACTTGTTTCAGCATGGGTCGCGCCGAATTATGCGTATTGTGAACTTTCATTGTTCCAAAACGAAGCCAGGATTGAAAAGTCGCGAAGCGGCTTTTCAACCCTGGTTCAGAGATTATGTCTAAAATCGCTTTTTCTAAATCTGATTTGTGTGCAGACATATATATTGTATACTTTATTCAGGTTATTGAATAAGCGGTTTGAAATCAAAAATTCAGAGCAGGATAAAAATGAAAGAAGGGGGGGAATATGGGGCCGGGTCATATGACGCTGAACGGGGTGCTCTGCAGATCCATATTTTGCAAGTTTCGCCGAAAGATTTTTGCGGTACCCGCACGAAAAGCTGACCGGGGGAGCCGATTCCAAAGCTTTATGACCCTACGTGAGAAAAAAGCGCGCGAGAAACCTTGGACGCTTTGGGTCCGTCTGATTTGAAAAGGATGTGCATTTCGGGGAGGACGATCTGATAGTTGGAACAGCTTACAGGGAAAATTTGGCAGAAATAGAGACTTCGAGCAAGTTGCCAGGTCGGCTTCTATCCTACGTTGTTCTAGGGTGGGAAGTGAGAAAATTTCTAGTCGGTCTGCATAAGGAGGGGGTGTTGAGTTTGGGAAGAGTTTCAGTAAAGCGAAACGAGTAAACTTGCGCTGAACGCTTTCTAACTCGTTGATTTGGCACTTCTGAACCGTATCGGCCGTATTACGCGCAAGATTCTGTTTTATATAGTAGGATCGCCGTTTAAGTTGGTTAGTTCAACTAAAGTTTTTAAAAATAGCAAAAAGCCGTCTGGAACCCTGATCATATTAGGAAAATTAAATTCTAGCAAGCAAAAATTGATTTGTATCTCAAAAGTGCGTTCGCCCCACCCCGATAATGCGAAAGCACCAATCTGCACCTTTTTTGAACTCAGCATCCTCATCCGCATCTGTTTTAAAATGTTTGACTTGCTGCCAAGGGCTATACGATAGAATTTATACAACCGCAACAGAACGTTGTGAATTGTGAACAATGGAATTCTCACAGGTCACCCGGAAAAAAATAATTAGACTCTGTAGGGACTTTTGCATCGATCACCTCGACACTGCGAATCGAACACAGAAACGTGGTAAAATAATCGGTCGATGGTGGGAAGCGAGGCGGGCTCAATTAAAGTCTGAACAAGAATTGCAGAACATGATTTGGTATTGTTTTGACGAGAGCCCTTTGGCGTTGGGGATAATAAGGCACAATAAAAAGATCCTCGATATAACATACTACATTAGGGTTGGGTCGAGTCGAGATTAATTAAGAGTCGTGTTTCACGGCCGGTGTGGACGGGGAAGAAGCGGGCTGGGCGATCGACGAAAATGAAGAGCGACACGATTCCAACGACGCCATCGATCCACTGAAATAAAAAATTAATTGCATTGCAAAAGCGAGCGCATCAAAATTTTTCTTTCCTCGGTACTTCCGAGGGAAATCCGATTTTTTAATGTCTCATTTCTTCAAGTTTAATACAGTCTTTTATGAACTAAAGTCTAAAAACCGCAAAAAAAACGTATTAAGACGTATCGTATCGTTTCTCACCAAAAAGCCTTTTCATACAGTTTTTAAAGTTTTCTAAATTTTGTTCCCACTTTACTCATCGCTAATTTCTACTACAAAGAATTGCACCTAGTTGCTTGCCCTACTATCCGAACTGCCGCTGAAATAATAAAGCAATAGATTTTTACAAGGCTCTCTTGGCATACAGAATGGGCATTTTCTCAGCGAAGAATGGGACGCAAAACGCACCGGAAGTCCTTCGAATCGAGCACTTCATGGTAGTACATCAGCTTGCATTTTGGGCCGGTCAACGAGAAGTCGAATGATGAGTGCGGCTCCGCCTGGGCCTAAACGGAAATTGGAGACAGTTTTTGGAAAGACATACCTGAGGGACGCGCCATTGCAAAATATACGTGCCGCTCTTTGCGCAGCAGTGCGAACCCTGAAAACAAAGATGTAATAAAAAGATGGCGAGTATACCTGTATACTGTCACCTTCGATGTACAACGTTGCCTTCTCTTCAATCGTCAAGTCGACGCCGAGTGTCAAAGACGGGTCCGAGTAGACATCCTTCTGTGGGGCGCTCTGAAATATGGATCTTATAGGAAAACCAGCGCCCAAAACCCGCTTCGCGGGCCTTGGGCGCTGGAATGCGGCCTTTGCATGAAAAATTTGACTTTCCGATAGCTCGGGTCCCTCGGACCCCTTTCCCCCCCACCGAATGGCGAATGGCAAGAATGAGGAAATTTGTATTTTTCATATTATGCAAATTACCCCCAAAAATGAATAAAACCGGCTTTAACTTTGTAAACTTGTATTTTATCGAAATTCAGAGAACGTCATCGGAAAGAGGAGCGTCGATTCCCCCAAGTGACGGAGAATTGGGGCGTTTTGGCCACGGGAAGGCCCTCAAATCGGGCCTCCAAAGTGACATCCACACACACACACAGAGATACACCCCAAAATTATATAAGGTAGGATAGAGGAAGTAAGTTACAAGTAACAAAGCAAAAAAGGACAAAGCCCTATAGGTATTCAAAAAATCCTACATCAATGGCCGCAGCGATCATGTCAACAGGGTGCAGGACCGTTGGTGAGTGAGGGTGGACGGGCTCGCTGATAAGCTAAAAAACTGTCATCGAAAAATGGAAAGTCGATCACCTTGCTGGTATGGTAAACGAGAAACTCGCAATCCGACTTGATCAAGTCGAAATCCCATGTGAGGACACAACCAGCTGAAGAGACAAGGATGCATGCCTGAAAATGTTGTCAAAAACCTTCGTGTTACCACCAAATCAACTATAAACTATGAAAAGATCCCTGAAACTTACTTCAATAGGCGCGCCCTTTGAGATTGTGCCCTTTGTGTAGTTGGAGGCTAAGACATCTTCTTCATCTTTGGCTTCGTAATCCACGGGTTGGTAGAGATTCTTCGGCACGTGCCCACCGCTGCCACAGTCCACGATCGACACGCCGCCTGAAAAAAATTAGCTCGTGAAAAGCATACGCACCTAGGAAATCCGGCAAATACTGCTCGTCAATGTACTTCTTCAGCTCGTTCAGCAGGTTTTCGCCGCTGTTGATCATGAATTTCTGCCTAAAACCCCCGATGCGAATAGTCAAGATCCACAAACCGTGTGCGCTCGTCGATGAAAGGCGAGATTAGCGTCCAAAGGACCGGGAACATCCGCGGAGCACGGACCACTAGTACTTGGCCCAGCGTCTCGGGATAGTGCGCCTGTAAAAGAAAAACAACTACCAAGGGAACCTCAAGTTGGGACGGCGGATTTCGAAAAAAGCTCGCGGCTAGCCCTAGGTTTTCGACTATGACCATTCCAACGGTCTAGTCAGAATTAGCTAAATAGACCTGTGGACAGAGATACACCACTTCCGGAAAATCAAAGGTTTACATCTCGGAAATTAGCATTAGAGGTAGGTTTATGAGGCTCTCTCATCAGATAGGAATCATCAGTTGAATGGAGGAGTGGTAAGCGACTCGCTTGGTAGGATGCTGGCAGGGTTCGAACCCGCTCGCGATTTTTTATTTTGCTTTTTGACCAGAACTTTCTGCTAAACTCCAAGTTTTGATTATTTTTGCGAAAAAATATTCTGCTTTAAATAATCTAAAAATAATTTCAGATCCAACTTCTATTTTTCAAATGCATCAAAATATTGAAGAAGAAGATCATAATAAAAACCCAATTTGTAAAAAGCATGGAAGAAGAGCCCAATAATTGTTCGGGTAATTGGTTGGAGTGGCCAGGATCTCAACGAAAAAATTGTTGAAAAGTAAAGTCTAACCTTGGTGTTTGGCAGAAAGTTTTGGTCAAAGGTGATTCCTATCTGATGGGAGAGCCTATAAACCTACCTCTGATGCTAATTTCCGAGATGTAAATCTTTGATTTTCCGGAAGTGGTGTATCTCTTGACAGGTCTATTTAGCTAATTCTGACTAGACCGTTGGAATCGCCATAGTCGAAAACCTAGGGGTAGCCGCGAGCGTTTTTCGAAACTCGGCTGTCCCAACTTGAGATTCCCTTGTAAGATTTACAACGATTTACAATAAATACCTCGACAATCTCGATCAATCGAAGCAGACATTGGACACCAGGTCGCCAAAGATGACGCATCGAGAGGCCCTCGAGATCAACCAACAGGCTCCAGGTGCTAAAAATGACACTTTTCGGAAAACCATAACGCAAACGTTTCATGATTAACAAAAATGGAGAAACTGTCTAGGGCTCACCTAATCGGCGCGCCCAAATTTTTGGTTGCCTCTGCACATTTCGCTAGCCCTTCTTCGCAAATCGAGAGCGTTAGCTTGACGATGGCCTCCAGTCCGCAAGCCCGAAGCAGTCCCTTGATGTCGAGGGCACCGAGACGGAGCACGAAAAGCGGTCGTCCCTTCTAAACATGTCATTTTCTATGACAATAATTTTACAACGCACCAAATCTTGAAAGTGCCACGCTCCGGCGAAAAATTGCTGCATGATTGAGGGCCGGGTCCAATCCTAAAATTGATTGAAATCTTTTGTCTTTTGTAAAATTCACCTGTAAAATCTTATCAACGCCGTGTTGCTTTCGCCAGAGCAAGCTGTTGAGGACCATCTCCTTCGCCTTGTTCACATCAAAATCGCGGGCACGAAGAAAGCGCAGCAGGTGGGCGTCGTTTGGCAGTTTTCCCTAAAAAGGCATCAAGTGATCAGCCCCAAAAAAATTTGGATACCTTATGCGATGCCTGCAGCCCATACTTCAATTCACATAGGCGCGACTCCTCGAGTGGACTCAACTGGCCGAGGAAGCGACGAATGTATTCGGCCTCGAGCTTCGCTTCCGCTACAATGAATCGTACGGAACGCCGACGATGGCCCAAGCATCCATAGCGACGGGCGAGCATCCCCGAGCTAACGGTCCCCTCGTCCGTGTTCACCAAGGGATTCATAAGGCTGCAGCGTCGTTAATTTCAATTTTTCTGCGAATCGCAGGCAACAAAATGGAAAGTTCAGAAATGATTAGCAAACAACGAGCTCAACGAACATCGTGAATTTTTTTAAATATTGGGCCCTTCTTACTAGGTTTTGAATAATAACCTACACCTGGCGTCGTTTTGTAACAGCCGAAATAAGTAGTTAACCTATCGATCTTCTGGTAAGCCAAAAAGCGTTGTAAAACTAAACTATGTAGACAAATAGGAGTCATCAAAACTAAATTATGCATCTTGAAACCAGCTCACTTATGGATTTTCTAACAATCATAAAAGTTATAACATTATAAAAAAGCTAAATTCTGTGTTTTTACAGGCGAACAAGCGGCTTGAAACTAGATTATGACTATTCATTGGTAATGCGGACAATGATCCACCTAGAGAGCGGGGCTGGAATATTCGGAACGGTGCGCGTTGGGATTGGGGGACCCCGCGGCGGGGCTCTCCACCTATTTGCCCTCTCAGCGCCGTGCTTCTCTGACCGTCGGAGGCGTCTAGCCGAGGATCGGACTCCCAACGACATGCCTTTGCGCATAATTATCCTGGCCAATTAATAAAACAATTACATCGTCTAACTAATGCATAGGCCGGATTCAATTTATTATCCAAGAGATAGGTTATTTTCCCCAGGAATTGTTATCCCACACCAGGCGATTTTAAATAAAGCAACGCGAAACTTACAATCCTCCAAACTGTTGGCACGTCCGTTCTTGAAGGCGTTGGCCCTCGAGTTACGGCGGACTGTCGCCTTTCTAAAATTGAGATTGAAGGACGGGTTTTTGAAAACGATTCGCTCGAGCTATATAAGGTCACCCACCCTTCTTCTTCATCTTTCTCCTTAGACACATCGATGGCGCTATCCCCTACGCTGACCGCGTCTGCATTGCCGTCCTCACCCGATTTCTTCTCAGATTCCTAAACATAATGACGAATCATCTAAATCTAGTACCTCGAAAGGTGGAATATGCGTGACGCCGGACTTCAGCAGTTCCTCGATGAAAAATTCGAGCACTTCTTTTCCCTAAAAATAAGCTATTTTCGGTCCGTAAGAAGCGATTAACCTTTGCTAAATTTGCAGCGTATTGCTTCACTGCTAGCTTTTCCACTGCGTTTTCGAACCCGAAAAAATGCTTGACATCGAGGGATGCCGACTGCTCAAAGCACGTCCATTCCGCATTATCCGGATGCACCTGCAACATCGAAAAAAGTTATTGGTTTTGTTTAATACGGGGTAAAATTAAAAAAGTTAAGCTCACGTAGTAATTGCAATCTTCCTTCACGACAAGTCGAGAGGAGAACGAGATGTTGGTGGCCTCAATCAGGAGCTTTCTCTCTCGTCGATCGAGGCTGTTCTTCTGCGTAAAATACACGTAGTCGACCCCGGCTACCTAAACGGAAATAACGATTAGGAAGGCAGAACCCAGAATTGTCGCTTATGTAAAATTGCAAAATGTACCTTCTTTACTAAGTACGGCGCCTCGATGTTGAGCTGGCACTTTCTCTCGATTATCTAAACAAAAAGTTGTTGATTCAGTTATTTCTATAGCCCTTTTATACGCAAAAAGTCTAACCTCGATGGCGCCATCATCACTTTTGATGTGTTCAACAATTTCCGAGCCGACAAAGATTGGTATTTGAGGGCACGTGGGGAAGCGTTTTTCGTAAGCCTACAACATTCGTTTAAATAAAAAAATGGAAATCCTTACCGCCATGACAATCTCGAAGGGATATTTGTAGACTCGTACAGGACTTTGGTACGTTTGCACCATCGTTGCTGCGTTGGCCTCCCCAAAGGATCTGAAAAGGCTTTTTTAGTATTATTTACTATATTCGATTAGATATGAATCAAAGAAAACGTATAAAAGACAAGGAAAAACCTTGGACGATTGAAAATTTGTACTTCTTGGGGTTTTACGAACCCAAAAACAAAAAAAGTACAGCGAATATTGGTCGTATTCTAGAAGTTATTGGAATGAAATGCATAAAGTGGATAACGATCCCTTTTTGTTGACCAAAACGCCAAGTTTCGATTAGCCAGTTTTTGGCGGAGGTATGGGAGTGGGGCCTTAGGGTTCGGCGAAGCCCCCCACATACACACGACAATATCTTTCGGGAGGAGAGAATGGCTGTGAACGAGAGAGACGCAGAAGGACAGACGGCCCTCTTGATCGATGCCCCGCGCTTTGCTATTTTGAACGGGTGAAGTAATCGGAAATGAGGGTCGCCACACCAATGCGACACGTTTTCCGGCAAAACATAGAAATGTGGGGCTCTTTCGCATTATCGGGGGGGGGGGGGAGCAAACCTTTTTACAAGTCTAGAAATGCCTTGTATAATGGTCTAGAAAGTGTTTTAATAGTGTTTTTTAGGAGTATGTAATCATGTTTGAACTAGAAAAACTATCGATAGTTTTTGGATATATCCAAAAACTCTTAAAGGGTAGAAATTTTGGTCAAAAATCGGCCACGTTTGGTCGACAATCGATAATTTTGGCTAAAAATCCATAAAGTTTTCACGTTTAGGAACAGTAAAAAGTCCCCCTATAATGCGAAAGACAGGATTGGCACCAAAACGCGAAGTCATCGATCAGTTCAAAGAATTTTAGGCAGAGCTTCACGATTCCCCGTCTCAATAAATGCGTGCATCGAAGGGCACGTAATTTTCAGACGATCTACAGACGAAGGATGGCTCACTATGTTTGGTTTTCAGGCGACGTTTATGTCGCCTGTCTAGTAGAGGAAGAAAAGAAACGCAAGCTTTCTGACGAGGTTTCTTACTCTTCTTTACTCGAGGGTATGTATATCCCGAAAAATGCCATTTTTGGCCCTGGCCCTGTTTGCGGAGGACCCGTGAGGACAGACGGATTAAAGCGGCCGGTGCTTGGGTGCGCTATTTGGAACGCGCCGACCACAAAAGGCAAAGCATAGAGGTGGGGGCGAATGCTTTCGGCTTGTGCGGGTTGGGAGCGAGAAAAACCGCTTCTTCTCGGCTAGCGGCCGTTGAGAAAGCGAGAAGAAGCACTACCAAACCATCGCTGTCATCTATCCTCCCCTGGTTGGCTAGCTTCTCCCGATCGAATCACCCAGACCACCCGACATGCCCATCACCTAGCCGCTAGGCCTACCCAGGCTTCCCATCATTACTTCTAGAAGTCATTACTTATAAAAGATTACTTCCTAAATCGTTACTTCTAAAAGTCGTTACTTCTAAAAGTTCTAGCGTCGATTTGCGCATAATTATCGCCAAATTTGCCCAAAACTGATCTTCCGACGCACTAAATTTTAGAAGAAACAATTTTAGAAGTAATGGTTTTAGAAGTATTGATTTTGGAGGTATCTTTATACGTATAGCTTGTAGCTTGTAACTTATAGCTTTTTAATCTATATGAAAAAGTAGTGTCTGGGTGTGGTTGTGCCACTTTGCATGCAACTTCCGTCACCATGTCCGTGGAATATCTCGATAGGGGAAGCTTTTAAGGTATGGATGATACGTCATTAGGTGCGTATTGGCTCTGGGATAACTGCAAACTTATTATATTCTACAAAATTAATTGTTATCAACATAAAATTTCAGATTTTGTAAAAATTTCGGGCTCGCTCTTTGTTAGGAAACAATTAGCATGCATCGGTAGTGGCAGTAGCCTATATATAGAATCAAGTAGAGAGTGTCATTTTTCATTTTTTTTCATCGGGATGCGAGAGACGTATGCAGACTGAAGAATATTGTTGTGTTAGACGGGGCCAGGGTTGAAAAGTCGCGAAGCGGCTTTTCAACCCTGGTAGCTTTTTAATTCATCAACTTCATGCCAAAGTAATCTGGCCGCTCGAAAGATCTTCTTTTCCGATGAGACCTTCCCCAGCCCCCGAAATAGAGCAATCCGGAAAAATCGGCATTTTCTCGATTTCTTGCGTTTTATTCATATTCTGTTCGTTTCTACGCTGAAAGAACCGACTTTTAAACCATATTGTGTCCATCATTAACTTAGTCGCTAGTAAGGCTCTACTCGTCGCGTTCACCCACCCAGTAACCCGCCTCTATTTATCAAAAAATATTTAGGCTGCCTCTTTATTTAATTTATCTCTGTCGTGCACGCCCAAAATTCAGCGCCTCAGGCCCGTCGTTTCCGGACGCATGACACAAACACCCCTGTACAATACATACCCGTTTTGGAGCGGGCCCTTCCCTCAAAAGGGCCCTCCCTATTTGCTTACCCTGGCCACACGAACGAATTTTGTATTTCACCACTATGGCTGTGCGTGACATGTATGGTAGTTCGGCTGGCATCAGGTCAAACTCCTGAATTTTTGGCGTCTAGAAAATTCGCGTTCTTTCTTGACTCCCTGCAATTGATGGTTTGCGGCAGGAAGAATCGTTCAAGCGTTTCTTCTTGTTTGTTCCGAATGAACTTCTTCTGAATGGCGTATCCTGCTTGACAGATTTTCGATCAGAAAGTCGAAAAGCAAAATATCGAAATTTCATTACGTGAGATGTCATCTTCCTGAATTTCAATTTGCTAAGATTTTACGATACCGACGGCCGGAAAGTGAAACTTTCTCTATGTCGAAAATCCCTCGCATACTGCACATGTTTTCATGACTCGGGAATAATTATGTTAAACACGGCAAATCGCAATTTCGATCCCGGCAAAATCAGTTTCGAAAGTCAAATTTCGACAAAACGAAAGGCCGGTAAATTGCGTTTCGACCATCTAATGTTCGACGAATTGAAAATAAGCCGGTTTCCCACTACTCCGCGGAGTGGACATCTCACCTCTGATTCCACCCCCAGCTTGACCCTTGCGGCGGAGGGAGGGGGGAGGGGGTGGTGAGAATCCGCGGAATCCCGTTGAAATGGGAGACATTATGTATCTGGGTGTCTGTCTGTCTGTCTTTGCTGCGTTGTGGGTATGTTGGTGGAATCGGGGTGGGATACCTTGGCCGCTTCTTCCTCGCAGCGGGTGTCTCTCCATTGGGGTATTTGTAGGTGCTCGTCCCCGCCGAACCCAGCATCGAATAGGCGACCTGTGAAAGGCGATACCCGTCACCAGAACAATCTCGGAACACCCCAATATACTCGGACACAACACCTCACTCAACACACGATCGCCCTCAACCCCTTAATGGCTTGCATACCGTTGCAATGCGCCTCTGGCACGGCATGTTCGTGCTCCCGATTTGCTATCATAAGGTCGAAATTCAACATGTCGGCATTTTGAAATTACCCCATCCTCCACCATGTAAGATCATCAATTGATAGATCACGAATTCACCGAATTATCTTGTTGCTGGCGGCTGATGTCGCAGTGTCGCGCTTTGATCACGTTCTCTCGTTCGTATTCCAAAGCCGTTCATGCCAATTTTTGGACCTAAATAACAAAACGTAAATCTTCAGCCACTCTCACCGAGGACGTTAAAAAGGGCAGTATTGTGGAAAAACTGACTTACCTTACGTGTTTGGAGTAGAGCATATCGACGCATATAGACGCGACGTCGGTAACATGCTAATTAGAATGTAAAGGATAAAAATTATGATGCGACGGGCAAAATACAGGAAATTTAGCTAGCTTTTTCTTAAAATTGGGTTTGGCATTCTAATTAGCAGGTTACCGGCGTCGCGTCTATATGCGTCGATATGCTCTACTCCAAACAAGTCCGATAAGTCGGTCTTCCAACAACCCCATTTTAACGTCCTCGGTGAGAGTGGCTCGAGATTTACGTCTTGTTAATTAGGCCCAAAAATTGGCATAAACTGCTTCGCAGTGCGAACGGATAACAGAGAAAAGCACGAAATTGCGGCTTCAGCCCTACTCCGCCGGTATACCCATACTGCAATTTTTGTTTGGAATAGCCAGACAATTCATTCCCTAGCCACCTCCCACCATCATCCACCATTTGATGATGTTTTTGTTTGATCCTGGGCCCGTTTCATGCGCCAATCACTCACAGTCAAGGGCCGGCCGATTGTGCTTTTCGTGGGACCGGGCGTTGCTCAAGAGGGTGTTGACCCTTTGAAACCGTTCTCATTGTCGCCATCGTGGGTCCTCGCTCTTTGGACGAGAATAGATAGCTCCCCCCACTTCATTCTGGCAGCTAATTTGTCAAGTTCAGCAGGCGTAACCGGCCTATTCTTCGTCTAAGTCTTATCGAGTTCTTCAATGCCCAAAAACGAACGTTTCGTCTAAAAGCTGACAGTCTAAAACCAGGGCTGGCACCAAATAAGCTCTAGCCCCCTTAGATCAATCTGGACCCCCCTTTAGATCATCTACATAGACTGCCCTTTGCGGCCCAAACCGGGCCCACAAAGACCATCCGGGTATGCAAAAGATAAACGGTCAACATTTTCAGTAACTAGCTTTTCTAGGACATAAAAACCTCCTCTATCCGAAGGTGTTTTCGAAAAAAATGTAATTCTGATGGATCTTATATAGATAGAAGTTAAGGGGGGCTAGAGGATATAGTGGTCCCCCTAGATAATCTATAGGGGAGGGGGGTTAGATAATTTTAAGGGGAGGGTTAGACCGCCCCCCTAGACACATACGGTCAAAAGGGGGGGGGGGGTCAGCTACTTAAATTCTAAAAATAAAGAATTTTACGCTTTTCAAAAAATACCTATCCGACGTAGAAAAATGAGGAGAACTCGATCCCGTTTACCCCGAAAGCCAATCTGGCGTGGTTTTCGAGATAAAGCGCGTCAAAAAATTTAATTCCCCCTTAGATAATCTAAGTAAAAAAATCTCTCATTTAGGTGATCTCAGGGGGTGGGGGGGCTACCTTATTTTGATGGCTTTTTACAAGATGAATCCGCATGAGTTAGCCGTTTTTATTAGCAAGGGGTATTTTTGTTATAGTATCGTAGGTTTTTTCTATTTTTCTCCGCACGGTTACCGTTTCGTTACTGTAGCAACGCCTTCCCTTGAACCCGTGTGGAAAATAACTGCGCGGCCGGCATCAATCGATAGAGAATCGCATATGAAGTGACTTTAATATTAGTTTTGCGGAACTGTCTTTTTGAAAATGGCAATGAATAAAAATAGCTAATAAAAAATCATCGATTTTTCGAATTTTTGAAAATTTTGACAAAAGTAGCTACCTTCGATAGAGAATTTTTTTTCTGAACAAGATGACGATAGTTATTTTCAAAATATCTATCCAAGAGACCGATATATTTTGAGTAAACTAGGCGATTCGACATAAAAAGTATTAAAAAAGTCATCTAAAAGGGCCCCTAGATGGTCTGAAGCCCCCTAGATTATCTAGTACCCCTAGATTGGATCTACCCCCCTTGATAGGGGGTGTTAGATCTTACCGCTTAGCTTAGAGCAATGTTGCGATGTTATTTGCTAAATAATATTTAGCTCATTCGAGAGACCACGAAATACTCAGCACTTCCCAGCTTTCAAGCATAGCGACACGATATGCGTCTTTGGACCTGAGATATTTAGCTCCGGTTTGGCCGCCGCCTAACAAAATGTGAATTTTGCCCCGGTAACCATCGTTGTTCAGCTTTTTTTTGTGGAATGAGACCTGTTCAAAATTCAGAGCGCTATAGAATGTGCTATGTCACATTGCCAAACTCCAAAAACCGCCTAAAACGACTCCATGGAAGAAAATTCACCGCTATCCCTGCCGTTGCCTGTTATTCGTACCCCCTATGCTTTGTGTCCACTTCAATGTTTTATAGAAGCCTATCTCCTGATCAGACATAATTCTTCGATTGTAGTTTACCAGTGATACGATCAGCAACGGTGTTGCTACATGTCTGGATGAAAGATGGAGCGTATAAACAGGGGCATTGGCTCCTCACCCGGATCCAATAGTCTCGTCTCCCGAATTCTGCAAGTCAGCCCACAACCTAATGCGCAACTACATTAGCGTTTTTTAGGTGGCCCTCGGACTGTTCGTGACTACGCAAGACATCCCTCCGCTTTCCGACAATCATCGACTCCTACCGTATGATTGCGCCTTTGATACCGACTGTCGCTGGCAAAGCGTTGGAGGGTCTGTTTGGCTGGGGTTTCTGTTTCTTTTGACGCTGCCTAGCTTAGGCGCACATTCATTTTGTGTCCAACCGCTGTCAGAATCTGCCGTTGCGCCGCCAGAAAAGACGCAAAAAATTCTGAAGTTGTTGGCATCCTTGAAAAGGTCATTCAACGGAACGGCACTAGAATCGGCCCGTTTCGCAAAGTTCATACTGAATCGAGTAGGGTAAACGTCATTACTTCGAAAGCTATTACTTCGAAAGTCATTACTTCGAAAGTCATTCCTTCGAAAAGTCATTACTTCGAAAAGTAATTTCTTCGAAAGTCATTACTTCGAAAAGTCATTTCTTCGAAAAGTCATTTCTTCGAAAAGTCATTTCTTCGAAAAGTCATTACTTCGAAACGTCATTACTTCGAAACGTCATTACTTCGAAACGTCATTACTTCGAAAAATGTGCTAATTTGGAATGTTCATATCACGAAATTCATGACACTGACGATAAAACCATTGCGTAGGTACCATATGCCTATTCTATTAAGGTTATTACTGTGTAGAATATCGGTCTGTATTAGGATTGTTAGTTACCCCATCTCCACGAATTATAATTTTGGTTATAATGATCCTTGCATTCAATCACTGAAGCATCACGATGTTTACCTAAAAATGTCCGTGTATGTTTTGATGCTCTCTGAAGTGACATCAGAAAATGTTCGTACTAACCAACTAAAACATCGAAAAATCTGGGGGTAAAGTAAAAATTTGCAGATTTTTTCATGCGACGTATAAAAAACTCGATCGAATAAACGGACCGGTAGAGGCAGAATGGTGTCAATTAGCGTACGTGCTATGCATTTTTTTCGAAGTAATGGCGTTTCGAAGTAATGACTTTTCGAAGTAATGACTTTTCGAAGTAATGACTTTTCGAAGTAATGACTTTTCGAAGTAATGACTTTTCGAAGTAATGACTTTCGAAGTGATGACTTTTCGAAGTAATGACTTTCGAAGTAATGTTTTCGAAGTAATGATTTTCGAAGTAATGACTTTTCGAAGTAATGACTTTTCGAAGTAATGACTTTCGAAGTGATGACTTTTCGAAGTAATGACTGGCAGCCAATCGAGTAAACTTAACAAAATCGCAGAGAGCGTTTGATTGATGTGCAAATATTAAAAACTGGTTACTCTTACTAGTTAGGGACTGGCAGAAGGGAGCCTTTTTTCCAAAGCAATAGCTGCGCCTCCCTGTCTGTCTTTTTGCCTCTGCGTGGAGCTGTCTTTTTGCGCCTTCGCTATATACCAGACAAATGCCTGATCTTCGCCGTGGTGATTAAATTCAGACCAAAACATTTTAGGTTTGTCGATAAATGGCGCATCGCGAGGGGCGAGCCGGACAGTCTTCTCTGGTTAGCAGCGACGGGGACAATGCAACTACCCAGTGAGGGGGAGAATAACGAACCTTTACATCAGATCATATGTTTAGTCGAACCGTTCGTACTGGTCGAGCAACGCGGGCAAAAGGTAGATTCCCTGATGAGTGACGAAATCGAATGCCAGAACGGGACCGCGAATTTTGCCTTCAATTATTGGGCAATCGGTAGGTTATGAAGGCGAAATTTTTGTAACCTTGGCTCACTAGTCTATCGGGTTGGACGTCAAGATGACGTAGAAATCTTTATTTCAAGCGCTGGCGATGCTTTTTAAACAAGCCGTGACGGCATATTGTCGAGCCAATTGGCCGGCGCTGTTGGCTTTTTGCCAGGAAGTGGATCGTGTGGTTTAGATCTATGCCTTCTTTATCCCTTCCAAAACCAGACGACGGTTTGATTTCAGGAAATGCCGATTTGGAGATTTGTCTTACGCACCTGGATGGCACAAAGTTTAACTGTACGGGATGGTTGAACACACCGGTGATGCCCGGGAAAGTGTCACTGAAGATCCCGTCAATGCAAAGTCCCTTTAAGGTAGGGTTTGATATCCAAACTCCACATCTAAAAACCTCATATGTTAAACACTCCGGTTTTAGATTGAAATTTCACCGAACGGGCAGACAGGGATCCTGGCCATCGACGACATCAAATATGATGCGGCTCCTTGTATACCGGCGCTTCCCTTCGGCCCCCGTGGGGTCCCACAGCCACCGCTCATCATTCCTTGGACCAAACCATCATTCACCAAGAGTCCGATTCCGGAAAGGCCCACAACAAAGAGGTAGGGGAGGCTTATGCTCATATCGGCAGAAGTTACATAGGGCACTTGGCCAAGCAAGGGACGCGCTTTCCGATCAGGTACCTTAGCGGCCTTCAATCCGACTCGATCAAGACGCTTTTTCCCAAAGATGGCAAAAAATTTATTAGATATCTCATCCGAAAGCGCTTCGTTGCTGTGAAAAAGGTGCGGATTTTCTCCCTCACAATTTTTACCGGGACTTAAAGGTGCTATTTTCCCGGAAAATGCCCTAATGCGCTGTTACCCTCACTATAAGACCATTCTGTATTTCTAAACACTGGTTCAAAATCCCCAAAAAAATTGTACACAAAATAGAAGTGGTCCCGTCTTGGATTACCATCTTGACCAAACGCGCGTTACTGTAAGATTTCCGATTTTACTCCTGTGCTTTAGAGAAACATGGGCCACCATCAGCCCGGAGCTCCGAACGACCACCAAACCGACAACCGAACCACGTATGCTCGCTGTAGACGCTATCGTGAATTGAATTTGTTTAGCTACAACTTATACCACCGCAGCAACGAGTGAACCGCCCGAAAAGAGTACCGCGGTGCCTGCACAGACGACGGAAAAGCCGTTTGAACTTTTGATAATCGGAAATAAGACCGAGCCGCTGTTCGATCGTCGCATTGGCGTGAGTTGTAAACCGACAGCTCAAGACGGCCTTTTTTTGCGGTCTGGTTACCAAATTTCACGATGCAATGCAATTCTCATGGGCTCGCCCGCATTCTTTTCTGCCCAATAACCAAAGACCCCAAACTAGATCGTTGCGTAGGTGATTATCAACGATTCGGCGAAACTGCTGTGCGATTTCAACGAGGAGTTCGCCTGCCAATGGGGCGCAGAGGCCGGAAAATGGGCCATCGTCAGAGCAGGTAATCGGAAATTGAGTCTTCAGGTCCCGCGCCAATTAATATATTTCGATTCTTGCTTTCTGAAAACGATTACCTAGGGGGCGATTCCGTCGCTAGAGGAGGCCATTCCAACGGGAGCAAATGGCCCGTCGTTCCCAGCTGCGCTCGTCCTCCAGGGTTCGGCCATGCTCACCTCCGATCCGATACGTTGCCAAAGTGGACCCGGGAAGGTGAACATTTCCTCATACTCTTATCCGAGCTCGTTAAATTAAAGGGGGTCCCAATAGAAAAGGTCACGCTGGCATTTTGCTATTTCAAATCCGATCAAATTTAAATTTGGAACAGATGTGGGGAAGGGAATTTGAAATGCTCATAGAAACTTCCAGCCCGATCGGCGCAGTAGTTTTTGAGTCATCGTAAAAAACTTTCTTTGACGTTTTCAACCTGGAAATCGCTGGAATTCAGTACTGGAATGTATGGAGAAAATGAAGCGCCGATCCTTGTTCATCCTGGGAAATTTTTTCTTCGCAATATTCGGTTTGGAAATAGGCTATCTAAGTAATTTTAACAAGGTACCAGGGTTGAAAAGCCGCTACGCGGATTTTCACCCCCTGGCCTTCGTGCGGGGATCTTGAGAGGTTCGGCGCTTTACATAATTCGAGCAAATTAGCGCCAACGCTCAACCCCAATAATGACAAAAGCGACCGACTGGGAGCGTGACAAAATCTAAAATGAGCCGCCTGGCGCCTCGTATGCAAATGAGGGCATTTCCATATGTTTTAAAAACACTAAAATAAGGTATAAATCGTCATTTTCTTAAAAATCTGATAAGCGTGCAGTAATCTACGCCCTCGAATACCCCTAAATACCTTTCGACTGGGCCCGAAAACCCTTCCCCGTCCCGATATCTTGGTAACCCGGTTTTTTCGAGTCATTTATGCAAAGTGTCCACAGACACACACACAGACACTACCTTTTTATAGATAGTAGGATTTGCAGACCCGCGGTTTACAAGGGATCGGCAAATACGGGGGTTGGAGTTTTGATATGGGACCAAGCGGATTCTATGTAATCGACCATGCTGATCACGGTGGCTTCTTTAGAAAATCCGGAATGGCCTTGGTTCTTCGGATATTCCGTTCAAAGTTGGCCAAAATTTTTGGAAAAATGCGCCATTCGGCCGGTCGAAAACGCGGACAGACGCCGAGGAGTCCCTTCTCATCCGCCCCACAGATGCCTCTTCCCATCGTCTTGGTGGTGCAATGGTAAGGTTTCAGGTCTCTGGTGCGGAGGGTCACTGGTTCGAGTCCGACCGCGCTCGAATTTTTTGCTTTTACAAGTATTGGTCGCGCTACGTGAAATTTTACAAGTTTTTACTTCAGAATTTTTTACGAAATATTATTTGGTTGTTTCAGTAGGGTTGAATCGCCGTTTTTACACGTTCATTATTTTTTAACGAATTTTTTACTATAAGAAACATAATAATCCCGACTCCCGGCCGGCCTCGCAGCGGGAAATGAATGGCGTTAAAAACTATCCAAAATGTTATAAAAAATTCTGAAGTAAAAACTTGTAATCGCGAAGCGCGACTTGAAAAAGGGTTGAATCGCCGTTTTTACACGTTCACTATTCCCGCCCTCCCGGCCGGCCTCGCAGCGGGAAATGAATGGCGTTAAAAACTATCCAAAATGTTATAAAAAATTCTGAAGTAAAAACTTGTAATCGCGAAGCGCGACTTGAAAAAGCAAAAAATTCGAGCGCGGACGGACTCGAACCAGTGACCCTCCGCACCAGAGACCTGAAACCTTTCCATCGCGCCAGCAAGCCGAGGGGGAGAGGCATCTGTGGGGCGGATAAGAAGGGGCTCCTCGGCGTCCGTCCGCGTTTTCGACCGGCCGAATGGCGCATTTTTCCAAAAATTTTGGCCAACTTTGAAGCGGAATATCCGGAGAACCAAGGCCATTCCGGATTTTCTAAAGACGCCACCGTGATCAACATGGTCGATTACATAGAATCCGCTTGGTCCCATATCAAAACTCCAACCCCGGTATTTTCCGATCCCTTGCTAGAAGAATGAGGGATTTAGAGCCGGAAGTTGATGTTAACTGCTGCAAGTTCCGAATCCCAAACCCAAGGCAACGCTAAAAAATTTAGCTTCTCTTCCGTTATTGGAGTAACGGAGACGTTCTGCTACAGGCGTGTGCCCTTGGCTATGGAGTGGATAGCAATCGAATTGATTGCGTTGACCAATCCACAAAGACCGGCATCGATCCGACGTTGGCCGTATTCGATTTCCCGAAGTCTATCAAAGAACCGTTCACGGTGGGTCTGCTCCACCCCTTAACAGATCGTTGTCGTTCCAGATGAACCTCGTACCGCAGTGGCCACGCGGCGTCCAGAATAAATACTTGATCATTGATGAGATCGCCTACATTGGCGATTGTGTGCCGCCATCCATCACGAAAGCCACGATTCTACTCCCCACCGGCGTCATTATGCCGCACGAGAAGCCCATACCCGAAGCGGCGCGAAAAACGTTACGGCCGGTGTGAGTGCTTCAATATTGGAATATAACCCAATTTCGGAGGGGGCAGCTGAATGGGGGGGGGGGCAGAAGTTCACAAACGTCTGCCATTTGCCGCCCATTTTTCAAAGCATTAGGGTCCCCCTTTACAGGGTGGCCCGAAAGAGTGGTGACCGAAACTTTTTCGATTTTCTGAAAAACTATAGATCGAGGAAAGCTCATTTTAGCACATTATATTCCTTAAACAATTATCTTCCACATGGTATAACCACTTTTTTATTTGTTTGCCTCAAACTCGGAAAAACTGGCGCGGAAGCGGATGGAAAACGGAGGTGCTGGCACGCAGACACTCAGCCCGAATTTGGCTCATAACTCGATGAAGACTTTCGCGAGCGAACCCAAAATTGAATCGGGAGTAGCCAACACTTTGGCCTTTCAGACCGGCTACACAAAAAAATTCTGCGGGTTCGGGTTGGGGCTGCAGGATCGCTCTTTTGGCGAGCAAAAAACGGTTTGGTCAAAACCCTTAATAACGGGCCTCAGTCACTTGACCAAGTTGGAGGGTTCTGAGCCATAGCTGCACCACGAGCTTCACCGGAAACGTCAGGCACGCTCGTTAAAGAGATGGAAAAGGCATCGTTAAGTATTTTCTTCCACAGGAATTTATTTTAGATTTTGTCGATTTCAAAAAATCCATGACTTTGAATTATGGAATTAAATTCCTAATGTAAAAGCTAGACTGCGTTGTGCGCTGAGCGTATGCTCAAATTTAGCCAACATCTATAGGAAACAGAATCCATAACCCCGCCTTGCCCAACCCCATAAGGGAACAGAGAATTTCTGTGTGCAAGCTGCGGTCACCACTCTTTCGGGCCACCCTGTATATTTTTCGGCGTCCCTCTGCTCCCCCCTACGGGCCTGAATATAACCATTAACAGCGTCTTCTTCTTCTAACGAACGTCACTAACTTCGGAATGATAGTTCAAACCACGTTACTTAGGGTCAATGGAGTGACATTGAGGCCTATAATGACGAGGTCAACCATTCCAACGGCTACTTTCCCAAGCACCACGCCCGATCCCGAGGTTTGTTTGAAAAAGTTGATATATTTAAGCTCACCTAACCGCTTGCTTGCTCGAACTGGCAATCCAGAAAGAGAGAGAGAGAGAGAGAGAGAGAGAGAGAGAGAGAGATCTGGCTGCCTACGGTGTTTAATCTGGCTGCATTAGGTGGATTATGAAGAGTTTACGGAACTTCCAACGACCAACTCGGCTTCTGCGTCCACTTACCGTCCGAGATCCACAAAATATACGAGGCCAGCGCCTGATCGGTGAGTCTATCCTTGTATTCGTGTGGCAGTGAATACCTTTCCACGTTCATAGCAATTTACAGGCGAACCTTCCCCTGGCGCACCACAACTATCCGTCCAGTGGTGCGACCGGATGAATATATCGAAATCTCGTCCGGTATGCCCGCTGGAAACTATTGCTCGTTGCTAAACTGTAACTTTGATGGTCGGCATCCCCCTCTTAGCAGGCAATCAACAATATATTTTTAGAGAACGCATGTAACTACCTGAACCACGGCTTGACCAAGGTGCCATGGACACTGAGGAACCGCGGATATGGATTTCCGCTAAGTGCCTCAACCGACATTCGACCAAGTAAGCATCGTGGGAATCGTCCTTCAATGTTATGCGGGGGATCTATGGGACCATCTTTTGGAGCGGACCTAACTATTTTTGCACCTTTTTCTTAAAAAAAACTCTTAGCATTCGACGCTAGCGAATGGCACCAAAGAAATTTTGAAAATATCGAAAAAGTCGAAAAAACACTTTATTCTATGTGTTCTGTGGAATCCGCGTTTAGTACTTTTTTTGTCATAACTATTGTATATTACATTACTTTTCGAGATTACTTTACCTTCGACTTAAATTAAAACTTTGGGTATATTTTTCGAGTCAATATCTAATCGCGTCTTTAAGCATAAGCGTGGTCCTCCACGCTTCGGAAGAGCGTGGCCAGCCACGCTTATGCGGCGCATGCAAGCGTCGACCCATGTATATTTAAGATGACAAAAAAAGGCATGTCTATACTGTCCTCAACCCCCTCCCCCCGCGTAGCAGACATATACCCTTGAATTTTATTGTCCTTTAGCGCACAGCAATGGGCAATTCGTGTCTGCCGTGCTGTTTCCCGGCGACATAGCCATACTCGAGTCACCACGGTTCAACGCGACACGGTCGCTGAATGTTCTACTCTTTCAATACTTCCGCCCTAGCCACATGTCCACGATTAGGTAAGACGATGCAAATTATCCTCGGAAAACTGCCGCACCAAACTATTGGGTCGACGTTCCGAGTTTATAGGCTCTGCTTGGGCAGTAGCTACACTGGTGTGATGCGTACCGCTTCAGCCTTCTTACAATGCCCCTCGATCCTTCGGTCGGTAACGGCGCGAAACGCACAACGGTGGAACACGGTTCACGTACAGATTCCACCCGGAACTACCAATGTGGGTTTGTTGAGGACAGGGTATGCTTAACATACTTTATCGTCAAAAATCAAGGGACGCTGAAACCACGAAACGATTTCCGAAGAGAACTCCGAAAATTGGACTCCGGAAATCCGTTTACCGAAAGGCCGTTTAGCGTAGGATCCCCGAAATATCAGCCTCTCGAATAACAAGATCCCCGAAAGTTTGAATCACGAAAAATCAGATTCCCGAAGCCCGGTTTTCGAAAAACCGGAACTTGTAAAAACTAGCAACAGACTTCTGGGAATGTATAGGGACGGGGAGCCTAAAAATCGGTAGCAAAATTTTCGGGAATCCTTATTTTCCGAAATCCGATTGTCGGGAAACCGGCTGTCAGGAATCCGGGTTTCGAAAGTCTAAGCAAACCCCACAAAACTTAAAAAGCACCCTTTGGTGACGACGCACTTGGGACGGGTAGTTCTGTGTTGGCGTTGGGAGACTTACGCTGCTAGGTATTTGCTTCAAGCCAAGGCTTAACGCCGCCTTAACTATGCTTAGCTAAAGCTCAACTTGGCTTGTCGTTGGTTTCTATAAAGCTGATTTGAAACGTCGGCTTTTCCAGAAGGAAGCTAAGAGTTCACTTTTGCCCCCCCCCCCCCCCCCACCGCCCCCCAAGTGCATTAGCTTCTTCCTACAGTAAGAGTCGGTTCCAAGGTAACAAATAATGCTAATTCGTCAGTTCTTCCTCGTGGCGCAGAATAGTGGACGGGCAGAAGGCCGGGCGGCAATCGGCATCGACAACATGAGGATGGCCATCTGCGATGCCCGACATTTGGCGGCCAGCGAGCTACACGAGATGTTCGATCCATATGACATGGATATAGATTAGGCTCAAAACAAGCCATTTAGCCATTTCCCAGATAGCGTTGTGCCCCAATTCTGTGATCTAACTGCCCTCTTTAATGTCGGTCCGGTGCAGGAACGTGCCGACAACATCGTTCTGGAGGCCGACTTATTTCCGGCATGCCTGCACCCTAATGAATTTATTAGGCTGGAACTAAATTTTGTGCAATCGAACTTTGGCAATTTCATTCTAAAAATTTCGTGGGCAGATACCGATGTTCCCTCTGGTCATATAACTAAGGGGTTCATGAGTATGTGGGACGAAAGTTACAAGTTTGTAGACCCAGTTATTTTTAAAATCTTTCTTTTCTTTTCTACAAACCTCTAAGACGGGCATCTTGAGAACCGCCATAAAGTCACCACAGCAACTGATCATCACGATAATAAGAAGTAATATTTACTGGCTGCATACCAAATTAAAAAAAACGGCGACTTGATTTTGTAGTGGCGCGCGGAAGCGTTTTTCATTTTGCTTAACTTCAGCTTAGAAAAATGTTGAAGTGTGGTGTGGAAACCACGAGATCCCACCCCCACGCATCGAATAGAGTATTTGATTGTTTAGCGGTTCATGAAAAAAACACATTCTGGTTCTTGTTCGCTTTTTGGTCCGAAAATTAAAAAGAATGAAAAATATTGCACGAACTTTAGTTTCAACCTAATATTTATTAACGTAGAGTTTGACCCCTAGACGTGGTGCACTTTTGTGCATCGAAACGTCAGGTATCCTCAAATCCAGCCTGGCTGGTTGTGATCCTGGAGAGAACTATATTCTGTAACTTTTTGCATTTCCAAGCTATTCTCAATCCTGAGAGGTGCTAATGCAAGCGAGGAGTAGGGCGCGCCTCCCAGCTAAACTCTCTTTTACGCTTTCCAAAAGCTACAAACATGATCTCGATTGTCGTCTAAATTGCAGCTCAATGCTTTATATGTGAATTGCCTAGGATTATTGTGATGTTTTTTTGCAAATTCGTGGTATGACTCATAAATGGTCTACAAAGAGCGAAGCACAGGCGCCTTCTGGCCCCGTTGAGTGATAGGTTGGGTGAAGTCGTCTGATTGATAGGATGCACTTCCCCCGTGCACGAAGGGTCCGCTCGCTGGCGGATTTTTTGTTCAAAAGACAAAAAAAATAGTTTTCCAAGCATTGACGTCCCGTTTTTGATTTAGCGGCTAAGCAACGAACACTCCTATCGGTACAGAAATGCGTGAGGCTACTATGTCTTAGCCATATAACTCCCAATTAAGACTGCTCTATAAAACCCGTATGCCAAAGTTGTAGAGTGAAACGAGACTTCTAAAACGTCACGAAAAATAACTAACTAAACGCTGGCGCCCAGAATGAGCGGCAACTAGGCCCTAAGCAACGCGGCACTTCTATCGACTCGAAAATGTATGGGGCCAAAGCTTCTACGCCTGATAACTTCAAAAACTAAAGTGAATTTTTTTAGAATAAAAGCTGGTTCCAACTTTAGAATAGAACACGGCAATTCGACTGATATCAATCGCCAAGAAAAGCAAGTTCAAAGAGTGTCAAAACGAAGGTGGCTTTTGTTGGCGACTTTGTGGAAAGTGGTATAGCTGCATTTGGTATCATCCAAACCGTTAAATTCTACTCTGCAAGATTGAGATTGGGTTTTCAATATTTGCGGTGGAAAACACTTTTTGGGCGGAGCTGACTTACTTGAGCCATGCACGCGTCTGTAAGTGAGGATGATTTTTGGGCCAGCTTGCATCTTCCGGCCTAACTTCGGGACCGATTGGATGCAAGTGGCATGGGTGGTTTTTTGGGAAAGCCTCGATAAACGAAACGTCAGAGCGCTTTCTCCACATTTCACGAATATGACCACTCTGCGTTCTACAGGCCAAATGTCCGGGCGCCTTTCGGGAGTTTACTAGACGGGAGCTTCCCCCATGGAGCTTCGGTGGGCCCCGCAGTGCCCCAGATTGTAACAAATTTGCCCTGAGGCGCTGGCCAGCACCTTCCAGCTCGTACGATTGATTGGACTGACTCACACTGTGGCTTCTTTGGGCCACCCGGGTCCCTGCAAGGGCAGCTGCCCGAGGTTCTAGGCGGAGATTGGTCGCTTATGGATAAGGATACCTTGGGACCGGGAAGTCTCAGCGCATTCATTGCCGGTTTCTTAGGCCTACGACATCAAGAACAACATAATTTGATATTTCGCGTTTTCATTGAATGCTCCAACCTTCGGCAATCATCTCCCGGCCTTCTCGGGGCTACTGCAACGATCTAACCTAATTAAAGAGGGAGCGCAAGCAGAAACCTAGTGCTACTTGGATTCCTGGAATTTAGCAGATGTTGCGCCCTCACGACTCCAAAAAGGCCCTTTCCCGCCCAAAACATGGCCTAAGGGGCACGCGTTATCCGATCTGCGCGCCTCGCAGCCTCCCATTAGTGCGCTGATTTGCTGATACGGGCTCTTCGGGGCGCAATTCTAGTCAAATCTGGCAAAGGTCCAGGAATCCTGACGCGTTAGGCTGACACTAGCCCTTTAAATTAACAAATTTATTGCCCATTCTTTGGCGCCAATCTGATATGCCATACTTAGCCGAGACCCAGAGCCGGGCATTCTATTTTTCAATCACCTTGAAAGGGGTGTTGTAGATTTTGTATATCCGAGCAACCGCTACGATTTTTAGCAGGTCAAACGGCGCGATAAAACTCGGTACAGCCAAAGCTAAAACAAGTTCAAAGCTCAAACTCTTTGCATCTTGAAGGAACTTTGCGAGAGAGATAATTTTGCTATATTAAGGCAGCTAAGGTGTCAATTATTGCAAATTTAACACCCTACTTCTGGCCGCTTGCTAGTTTTAAGCTGGCAGTCTGGCTCCGCCAGCTTTTAATGTTTATAAGCGTAAGACGCTAGGCGCCCTGGATGGGGCGTAAACAATTCGAGTTCAGCCGTCGATCGAGCTAGCATGCACTTTCGTGCAAGCTCCTTCAACTGAGATAATTGCAACTGGGCAATCTTGGGATTTTCTAGATACCGTATTTCCTCTAATATAACCCCGGGGGTTCTATTTTTTCAAGCACTTCAGGAGAGGAGCTCTGCGACCGGATCAAGCCCGGTTTACAGCGATCCCGTTCCCAAGAAGAGTTATAATGTCAAGAAAAGGGGCGCCCAGCTGCCAGTGCGCTCATTTTTATTTCCAAAAAGCTAACACCCAGGGCCCACAGCTGTCCAGCGTAGCCCGGCACGAATTTCTTGCGACGCGATTTTTTTGCTGGTAAGCAGCGATCGGCCCCTTGAATCGCTGACTCATCTGTTGCGATCCCTTGAGCCATATCAATTTGTACTGGAAGAAAATCCACAGCTTAGTCTAGGCACGGCGAGCCTTTTGTCAGAGCTATGGCTCTTGGCATATCGGAAATGTTGACCGTCCCCGGCGATGAGTTTCCGAGCGATGCGCATATTTGATCATGATCCATAATTGACTCGAAAATATCATTTCTCCATGGTTCGCATATCTACATATATTTAGATATGATCATTTATACTCGTCTAGCTCGTGAGATTTAATAAATCTAGAAGGAACAACGATAACTAAAAAGATAACTTTAAAACTTTCACGGGATCAGGGAGGTTCGGATAAATTAAGAATAAAGCCTGTTGTCATTTCGAAACTTGCATAAATCGTCGCTGCTCCCTTTTACCTGGCCCCACTCTTTGCCTCGTATTTTGCGTTAGCATTGCCGGTCGGCAACTTGCCAATTGTAGATGAGCTCTGATCTACGTTGGCCTTTCTATCACTTTAAGAGATTTTTGGCCTCAAATGCCTTTCTTCTTTTCAAACCGTTTTGTGCAGGATGCCTGACAACTCAAACTGCTGGCGTAAATACAACGATTGACTAAAATCGTTGTTTTTGTTTTGTTTAATTGTTGAAGGGATCAGGAAAGGCTTCTTAATCGAAACTGGGGTTAGTTTTGAAATTAGCATAGAGGGGTCCTGCTCGCTCCTGATCGGCTCAATCTCTCCAGACAAGGTTTTCCTGGGAAGCCGGATAAGATAATAAACAAAACGTCCTGTTCTTCTCGGGTGCGCCTACGACCGCTTCTAAGGCCCGTCCCCCCTTACCGTAGCTGGGGTCTGGCCAGTGTCCTCGGGATGAGCGTGGGGACAGCCGCATCTGTGCCCGGTGGGGCCACAGCTGCACCGAAAACGCTGACACCCTCGATCGCTCCTGCTCCCCTCCTGCTCCCCGTATTTGCAATTTCTCTCTCGGTCTCTCTCGGTCTCTCACTCGGTCTCTCTCTCTGGATCTCTCTCTCTCTCTCTCGCTCTCTCTCTCTCGCACTCTCTGTTCCTCGCTCCCGCTCCACAATCCGCTCCTCCCCATTTGACTGGGTCTCGATCGGATCCGATCCTCAAGACAACTTTTTCCTCCTTCCAGACACTCGGCACCCCGCCGCCCCGGGCCATTCCCACCACGGACACGGCGCACCCGGCACACGCGCGCAATATTTGCGTCGTCTCCGCGGAGCCACAATGCGGCTGCCCTTGTGGTAAGTTCTCGGCTTCTTTAGCTTTTTTCTTTTTAGGTCCAAGCGAATATCCTATTAGACTTCGCTCTGGTTTTTATGACGATAAATTCTTTCATCCGCGCGCCCTGATTTCGACTTGCATACGTTTATCCTTACTTTTTTATTTTTTTTATCTTTTATCCGACTATCCTATCCTAAACTTATTTCTTTATCTTCTCCTTCCTCTACTTGCCTATTTCTAATACGTGGTGTATGTCCAAAAAATAGTATTGGCCATATCTATAGATATCTCTTTCCGTTGAGAAGTCGCGAACCGGCTTTTCAACCCTGATGCTATCATATAGTATATACATATACCATCACAATAGGTTCGTCCTGCTGCGAAAATTTGAGTAAATTTCATTATTAGAGATATTTTGATAGAAGTTAAAATTAGAGAATTGATATTTTTGGTTAGGGTTTCGATCAAATTTGGTCCACCCGGTATGAGCGATGGTTCAAGGTTCCAAATTCGCCCAGCACAAACATTTCTGGGTAAAAATCAGTTAAAAACGCCTTGAAAACTTTTCGTGCCTTGCTCCTCGATTATTCACCGATTTCCAGGCCTCTGCTGCTACTTGGGACCAGCTTGTTTGTAACGCACGTACTATCGGTAAGCGATTTTATTATACTATGATTTCTATTATGTATTATTTTTATCATTCCACAACTGCCTCCATAGGATCAAACTTTTGTATTTTAAATAGAGGAAGTTGTCAAGAAAACTAGCTTTCGTTATCTGCAAACGTTAAAAGCTTTTACACCAAAATTTCAAATGCTCAAAAGTGTTCTTGGTTGATTTTGCAGATAGTATTCGGTTCAATATAGTCAAATCTTTCTCGGCAGAGTAGCAAATATTTTATTGACGTTACTAGGTCCATCGCGACTTTCTCGGTCACTAGAGCAAACTTAAGTTTCCAACGGCGATATTTCTCCCCCTCCGATAATCCCAAGTCTTCAGTTTCGTCACCCTAACGCTTTGAGAGAAACTTTTTTACCTTTGCATTATTGCATCCGCGATGCGTGTCTCATCACGGTCCCACTGGCCAAAGTTTGGGGGCTCGCCGAGATCGATAGACCTGTGGAAGAGGCGAGGATCTGGAAGCGGACAGCCGGCGGGGGCCAAATGGCGGCCAGGCTATTTATCAGCGGTGCTGTAAGGGCCCAGAGGCCTGTGTCCCTCTGCCCCGCCGAGCCCTTCCATCCTCCGATCTGCCAATCATGCCGCAGACACTCTCGGGGGGACCATCTTACACTCGGCAACATTAGGTTCTACCCCGGCGGGTGGGGGGGGGGGGTTCGGCCCGCTACGTCGCCAAGGGCCGAAAGGCCAGCCCGGGTTTTTAGGCGGGGGTAGCGCACAACGAATTAGGTTATCTTCGCGGTAAAAATGTACAGGGCGAAAACTAGCGGTTCGAAGCTGTATTGACTAACCGGGTTTCCTTCGAATGATCAAAATCTTATAATGACGAAAATGTCGAAATTCAGAATGCCGAAAATTACCAAAGATAATCTTACCTGAAAACCCCCGAATCCTATGCAAAAAAGTTTCGAAATTCAGAATTTCAAGACTATGGAATTTCGACATTATGAAGTTCGGCAATATGAAATGACTTGTTTTTGCAACAATGAGCAACGATACGCTTTGCCCTCTTTAGGGTAGCTTAGTCCTAAAATCACAAGCACGAATATCGAACCTTTGCAGCAACAACAATGCCGGGATTGCACCAACCGCGGATGTTTCTGTGTTGGAGACAAAGGCTCGATGGTATGCCATTTCATGCATAAAATGACCGCGCCCATTTCTAGGGAGCGCCAGGCCCACAAGGACCCCCCGGATTGGCCGGAAATCGCGGCTTCCCCGGACCTGAAGGTCTCGGCGGCCCGAAAGGCCAGAAGGGAGCTCAAGGACCGCCTGGCCCGCCCGGCGTCAAGGGAGATCGGGTAAGAGCTTGACAGTTAATGGAACCCGATCGTGCCAAAAGCCTGATACCTATGCAGGGTATCTCAAAAAAATCGGCCTCCTAAAGCGATACGGAGAAAGCTCGTTCGGGAAGGTTTTTTTACACCATTCGTAAGCCTTGCAACAATCTTCAAACCCATCTCTTATTGAAGCGCCCTTTTCCATAAACCATTTTGAAATTTTTCCGGATATGCATCTGCGCCAATTGCCTCAATTTCACCAAACAAAAAATTACCAGAAGCAGCCGTTAATTAGATGGATAGGCCGTTCCTTACTGTAACCGTTTTTTGTTGACCGTGGGATTTCGATACGTGAGAAAGCACATTTTGTACAGAATTTTTCGCTGATTCCGAATCCGTTTTCAAAAGTTGCGGAACCCCTCTAGATAAAAAGTTACAGCCGGTTTTCTACCCCAAATGACCGAAAATTACAAACTTTAAATCCTTATAAAAAACTCGTGGAACATTTTGTGGGATAAAATACAGCACGCCTAGGGGTAAAAAAACGTGCTCTTTCGAATGGGCTACCTCACAAACCCGTAGCTCAAAATTCACAAAATTTCAATAATTGGCCATCCAGGGCATTGGTCCACCGAAAAACTTTTTTTCATGAATTTTGAGCTACGGGTTCGTGAGGTGGCCCATTCGAAAGAGCACGTTTTTTTACCCCGAGGAGTGCTGTAATTTATCCCACAAAATGTTCCACGAGTTTTTTATAAGAATTTAAAGTTTGTGATTTTCGGTCATTTGGGGTAGAAAACCGGCTGTAACTTTTTATCTAGAGGGGTTCCGCAACTTTTGAAAACGGATTCGGGATCAGCGAAAAATTCTGCACAAAATGTGCTATCTCACGTATCGAAATCCCACGGTCAACAAAAAACGGTTACAGTTAGTGTTTTTAAAAGCGGAATAAAATGGCGCGCGTAAATAGAAATATCGTTTTGAGGATTGTTGCAACTCATGATTTCTGTAGCTTTCGAATGGTGTAACTCTAGTCCGATCAGACACTTCCGCGTCGAGTTAGAGGGGTCGATTTTTGGACACCCTGTATAAGCACATGATTTCTGGCAAATGGGTGAATTTCAGGGAGCCGTTGGAGTTCCCGGATTCCCTGGAAATGATGGCGCTAACGGTCGGCCTGGAGAGCCCGGACCACCCGGAAACCCGGGTTGGGACGGCTGCAACGGAACGGATGGCCTGGCAGGAATGCCTGGACTTCCTGGACCTCCAGGTCTGCCCGGTTTCCCTGGACCAAAAGGAGACGCGGGTCTGAAGGGAGAGCCCGCCTTCGGAATGCCGGGACTGCCTGGCGAGAAAGGAAATGCTGGTGGGAATTTGCGCGTTTTTTTGCTTAGGTCTAGGTTTGTTCGGCTTAGGCTCAGGCTTAGCCCTTTAGGCTTACTTCGGCTAAGGCTTGGGCAAAAGCTTATGAAAGAGGATAGGAATCTCTGCGTTTTCCATTGCACTTGAGCTTTTTCTTTATCCGGTCGTTGTAGGTGTCCCTGGAATGCCTGGACTACCCGGACCCCCCGGACGCGATGGCTTCCCCGGCAACAAGGGAGATCGAGGAGACGCCGGACCAGCCGTGAGTTTTCCAGACGTGAACAGCTAAAATGTAAATGAATTACATTCTCTATACAGCAATCTGTATTCCTGGACCGTCTCTATCACCCAAATTTTATCCCGTAAATCTCCATCTCGGCGATATTTTAAGCCAATCGGTCAAAAAAATTAGTGAAGGCTACGGAACAAATTTGAGAAATTCATAATATTGAAAAATTTCGTAGAACAATTTAATTCGGGGATCTGACTTCAAGTCAGATCGGTAGTAGTAGTAGTAGTAGCTAGTAATTGAGGGTATCGCGATAGAGAGTTTCGGATTATAGTTAGCCTTGGACTTGGCTGTGCAATCAACGCTTAAAAAACTATCGGAATTTTGCGCATTTCGACATTTTTCTCTTCCAAACGGGTTGCTTTTTTCACACCAATGCCTGCAAGAGATGGGTGAAAGCATGTTTTTCCAAAACAAGTTTAAGGGCTTAAGGACGGTGTCCAAACCGCCGAGCGCAGAGATGACTTGTGTGAGAGATATCCAGCGAATCGGGGGGACGTAAGGGCGAACATAGAGGCGAATTGCGAAATCAGGGCGCGTGTACGCCACGAGCGCAAAAATCTATGGCGGATCCATAAAGCAAGGAAATATGGTCATGATTTACCTACCCCTTTCTTTGTGTCATAAAAGCACATCCTTGACAATCGCATTTTAGGGCCCGCGAGGACCACCTGGCGAGATTGGACCCCCAGGAAACCCTGGCATCGGATCGATTGGACCAAAGGGAGACCCGGTACGTTTTTCTTTGGGTTTTTACAAAAGATCTGAATCTGTGCACTCGATTGAAAAAGCGGCGATCAGCTAAAATTCACGGTTGCGAGGCGCCAGATTTTTACAAGAAGTTGAACCTCTGCAACTCATGCGTTCGATCTTTTTAGTTTGCCAATAATTACCACTTATTTTTGAGAAATATTATTTTGTGGCCAAGATCCGTTCACTTAACGTTATTTCTTTAATATCAACCCCCTCTATTACAACTCCCTTCTAACCCGTTACACCAACCAGAAAAACAACGAAATGGCCTCTGGGCAAAAATTTTTGAAAATCACCTTTAATTTACGCAATAAACTACCTGCTATGACGTAGTACATCTCTTCACGTTTAAAGCAGATCAAAGTACTGAAAATTGTTGGAATTTCTATAGCAGCTCAAATGTTCAAGTTATCGGTCGGATTTCAACGTAATTTCGAGATTTTAATCAATCTAGGACAAGCTAGTATCGCCGCCCCTCGATAATACAACCAGCTCCTCGAGGGAATCGCAAAAAAAAACATAAAAACTCAGAGTTAATTTTAGCGGAAATATGGTATGGTATGTGGGGGGGGGAAATAACCGGGGGGGCACTCATTATTATGAAATTTGCAATTACTGTAGGATTTTGCGAGTGCCATTTTATAGAGCGCCGAAAATATACGAAAAATATTAATTTCAGCCCAAAGTATTGTAATGGAAATTGTTTATCGAATAAACAAAAATTGATGAAAATCCATGGGCACCACATACAGTAACGGACAAAAGTAAATCACCCCCCATTTTTCGACTGTCTACGCCGATTTCCTGAAAATCCCTAGCTCGAAAATACTTAATTGACAACTTACTAGATGTAAAATTACATGCTGATTCCGAATTTGATACTCCGAAAACCCGGAAATTTTATTTTTAGGGCGAAAATCGCGATTTACTTTTTACCTCAAAAGACGGTCAAAAACTAACTTTTTTGTGTGGGGTTTTCGAGGTGCGCCATTATGATATTCGTAATCTCCGATATGAAATTAGCCGGAATAAGTGTTTTCCGGACTTTTATGGGGTGTCTAGATATCATTTCCGGAAATCGGCCAGTTAGCCTTCAACGGGCCTTTAAAAGCGGTTTTCGGCGTATTTCAATAGCGGATCCAGAATCTACAGGGTTGATTACATCAGGTTTAATGTGTTTTCAATGCGCAGAAACAAAACTGATTTTTCTAGAAGCATGTGTTTAGAAAGCGCAACGGCGAAAAGTCGAGTTGTGGAAAGGAGGGCTCGAAACGGGTCAAAAACGATTTTTCGCCAATTTCTTTTCAATCACATCGGAAAGAGCACTATCGAATGTGTAAGACAACATTTTTCAAAGAAAAATTCAGTCTCAATTATTCCTGATGAAAGAATTGGAAGCAACCAAAAGCCCAAAAACCCAAAAATGCTAACTTTTTAATCTGTCGTTTTCGAAACGTTTCGTTAGCAAATTCAGAATCTACGCTAACAAATTACCCAAATAAAGTTCGTTCTTATTTTTTTTCGCGATTCCCGAAGCCTCGAAAATTAAGAATAAGAATTGTCGTCGACGACCGAGAAAATGCCGCCCCCGGTGCTGCGATTTTGCTTAACAAAGTGGCGAAAAATGAAATTTACGATTTAGCGCTATAAACAATGTTTTCTTACACATTCGATAGTGCTCTTTCCGATGTGATTGAAAAGAAATTGGCGAAAAATCGTTTTTGACCCGTTTCGAGCCCTCCTTTCCACAACTCGACTTTTCGCCGTTGCGCTTTCTAAACACATGCTTCTAGAAAAATCAGTTTTGTTTCTGCGCATTGAAAACACATTAAACCTGATGTAATCAACCCTGTAGATTCTGGATCCGCTATTGAAATACGCCGAAAACCGCTTTTAAAGGCCCGTTGAAGGCTAACTGGCCGATTTCCGGAAATGATATCTAGACACCCCATAAAAGTCCGGAAAACACTTATTCCGGCTAATTTCATATCGGAGATTACGAATATCATAATGGCGCACCTCGAAAACCCCACACAAAAAAAGTTAGTTTTTGACCGTCTTTTGAGGTAAAAAGTAAATCGCGATTTTCGCCCTAAAAATAAAATTTTCGGGTTTTCGGAGTATCAAATTCGGAATCAGCATGTAATTTTACATCTAGTAAGTTGTCAATTAAGTATTTTCGAGCTAGGGATTTTCAGGAAATCGGCGTAGAAAGTCGAAAAATGGGGGGTGATTTACTTTTGTCCGTTACTGTAGGACAACGGGGGGGGGGGGGGGAAGCCAAATTTTTGAATTTTTTGATAATTTGAAGTCGCCAATCGATAGAACGTCAAAAAAATACTAAGAGATTTTTTTACAACGCGAAAAAATGTATCATAAAAGTTTTATAGCCTAAAAACTATTTTTGAGAACTATGGGCAGCACATAGGATAACGGGAGAGGGGGAAACAAATTTTCGGCGTTTTGAATATTTTCGATATTTTAAAATGCCATTCGGCAGAGGGCTGCCATTTGGTTAGCACGCTGGGCTGTGAGCTGAACCATCGCTGGTGCGAAATTCTTTGCTGTTTGCCAAATGCATCTTTCTCGAGCCCTTTAATGTTCCGTTTGAGTGGAGTATGCAAAATAAAACCCAAATGCATGGCTCCTGCATGCCGCAGAGGTTCAACCTGTTCAAAATCATGTTCTTCAGGGAGATATGGGCCCCGCAGGGCCTCCAGGACCGCCCGGTCCGCGCGAATTTACAGGCACCGGCTCGATCGTGGGCCCGCGTGGCCTCTCCGGCGAAAAAGGCGAAAAGGTAGCGTCCATTGAACATTGATTTATTTAGGGAGATCCTGGCCCGCCCGGTCCACCCGGAAGGCCCGGTAATAATGCTGACTATCTGACGGCACCCAAGGGCTCGTATGTTGGCCCAAAGGGAAATATCGGCGAGAAGGGAGAAAAGGCAATCCGTGCTCGCTGACCGTTTGCTCAGCTTTGCTTTTGAAAGAACAGTGGTTTTTTCGACGGGGAATTTATTAAAAAATTACATTAAATTAATATGAAACTAACCCTTGAAATGAAATCCGGACTATGTTTGCGGTAGTATAAAATGGTTGTGTATTTATAGAAGAGGAAACACCACGAAAATTTCGATAAGATTGTTCGGTCTCGGATTAGAAATATCGAAATAAAAAAAATATTAGAAATGACCCCTATACTGCAGATATACCCGGTCCTGCTCACCGGGAATCTGTCAAAATCTCGAAAATCAGAATGCGTAGGCGTGCAATTACCCGCTTACGCCCTGCATCCAGCCTATGCAGATTTCTGGATTCTAAAAATTCGAGATTCTGAAAATTCGAGATTCTGAAAATTCGAGATTTTGAAAATTCCGATTCTGACAATCCGAGATTTTGCAAATTCGAATTCTGATTTTCGAGATTCTGATAGCAATTCCTGCTCACCATCATCTACAGGATCTCAGCTCGCCTTTGACCTGCAATGGTGCTAAGTATACTAAGATTGTCATCAGAGCAAAAGCCTGAGCCTCTGCAAAAAGCAAAGCAAAAATAATTTTCTCTGAAAAACCATTGTTCTTTCAAGAAACTATTAGCCCAGCTTAAAACGGATAGTGACAACCTTTTTGGAAAAACGTTCACTTTGTCGTTTGAGCCTGGCGTTGATGGTTTCATGAGCATCAATTAGTTCTGCCTACAGTTCACCGCGTTCAGTTGCTCTGAGGAATATTTTGCGCTTCAAAAATATAATATAGGCGCTGCTGTCATGCGCGCCCTAATCATTATTCCGCGCTTCCACTCACCGCACGATTTTTCGCGCATTCGGAGGGTATTGATAAAAAACCTTTTAGGGAGACCCAGGAAATCTTGGCGACCGTGGATTCCCGGGACAACCCGGAAATCCCGGTATCCCCGGAATGCCCGGAATGAAGGGAGAAAAAGGACTGCCCGGACCTGCTGGCCCCAGGGTAGGCTTTTGGCTTATGGGAAATCATTTTTGTTTAGGGCAAAGAAGGCAGACCCGGAAATTCCGGACCGCCCGGCTTCAAGGGCGACCGTGGTCTCGACGGACTGCCTGGACTTCCTGGATTACCCGGAATGAAGGGTGAAGCTGGCTACCCAGGACGAGATGGACCCAAGGGAATGTCCGGACCACAAGGACCACCTGGAGTAAGTGCAGGAGCCGAGACAAAAACGATCAGAAATCTAATGGAATCCCTTTGTTGTGTATGGTAGCTCATTACACTGTAGCAGCCAATGCGTTTTGATACAGTGTGTGTCAAAACGATACAGCCACCTCTTTGAACGCTATTATCTCAGCCCACGTTGAGTTTGACGCCAAGCTGACTAGCAGGTCTGGTAGCGATCGAAAAGGCACATTTTTCCATCTACTTGAAGTTTTTAAAAAATAGAGCACGCTATTTTTATAAGGCAAAGAACAAATAGAGCCAAAAAAACAGACGTGACAACGATAGAGCCACACTACATACCTTTAGCATCAGGTTTGAGCTTGCAAATTTACATGCTACTAAACATTCAAAGTGACTTTCCATTTCTGACTTCCGGATTTTCCAAGGTGATACCATTCTGCATAGATTTGAACTTCGTATCAGCAATTAGCGTGTAATTTGCAAGCTCAAACCTGATGTTAATGATATGTTAATTGTGGCTTTATCGTTTTGACACTTCTGTTTTTTTGGCTCTATTTTTTCTTCGCCTTAAAAAATCGCGTGCTCTATTTTTGAAAAACTTCAAGTAGATGGAAAAATGCGCCTTTTCGAGCGCTACCAGACCTACCAGGCCTGGCGTCAAACTCAACGAGGGCTGAGATAATAGCGTTCAAAGGAGTGGCTCTATCGTTTTGACACACACTGTATGTCAATCCGGTGGGATACTATGGTCCTAGGGTTAGGGCGCTCGAACAGTCCCTCTTTTCGAGCCAACCGGAAATGCTAATGCAAAAAATGGGGCGAGGCATGAGGGAGCAGAAAATATTTATGCTAATTTTAGGAATCGAGCCAGCTTTATGCTAATTTTTCTTGAGCCTATCTGCTCCTTTTAACAAAATTTTTCAGGGCGGCGAAGTCTCGGACGGGCCCCCGGGTCCACCTGGTCTTCCCGGCCGAACCGGCCAACCCGGCCCACCCGGAAATGATGGCTTCCCAGGAGCCCCAGGCCCACAGGGTCCCCCTGGACCGGTGGGTGGGCCCGGAGTGCCTGGCTTGCCGGGTATGGAAGGTATGCCCGGACCGAAGGGCGATCGTGGAGACTCTGGCGTACCTGGATCCCCAGGCTTCCCGGGCTCCCCGGGTCTGCCTGGATATCCCGGACCCAAGGGTGAGCCTGGACTACCTGGCCTCCCCGGTCAAAGCATTCCTGGACTTCCTGGAAAGGACGGCCGCCCGGGTATTGATGGCGCGTCGGGCCGCAAGGGAGAACAAGGTCTTCCTGGAGTTCGAGGTAAAGATTCGCCGTCGTAGTAGTCGGGTTTTTTCTGAGTGACGCGTTCCGGCTACCAACCTCTAATAAAACTGCCGAAAATCGAGAATCCAGTATTCTCCGGTCATCATTTATTCACTTTCAGGACCACCTGGAGACTCGTTGAATGGACTGCCGGGTGCCCCTGGACCCCGTGGACCGCCCGGTCCTAAGGGCTACGACGGACGCGACGGAATTCCCGGACTTCCCGGTGTACCCGGAACCAAGGGAGATCGCGGTGGCTCGTGCTCAGCCTGCGCACCCGGTGCGAAGGGAGAGAAGGGACAGCCCGGATACCCGGGCCAAACTGGACCACAAGGAGAGCGTGGATACCCCGGAGCCAATGGACCACCTGGAGATCAAGGAGACGACGGATTACCGGGAGCCCCTGGACGTCCTGGAGGCCCCGGATCACCCGGAATGGATGGACTACCCGGGTTACCGGGACCCAAAGGAGAGCCGGCCACGCTGTCGCTTCGCCCAGGCCCACCTGGATACCCCGGAGCGAAGGGTGAAGCGGGATTCCCCGGGCTCCCCGGAGCAGATGGAACCTCGGGCCCACAAGGACCTCCCGGCAACGCAGGATACCCAGGAGCACCGGGAGCTAAAGGAGAATCTGGCCTCAGCGGACGCCCTGGATTGCCCGGAAAAGATGGACTTCCCGGCTTACCTGGTCAGAAGGGTGAAGCTGGATATGGACAGCCTGGGCTTCCTGGACTTTCCGGTAAGTTTTAATTAAAAGGATAAAACGGATTTTTCATCGGTGCGATTCGACCCTTTAACAGCATAGTTAATCAATGCTGACAGGTTGCCTGGAATAACCTGGCCTTGCATGAAAATGGAAAAAAGGCCGGTAGAACTATATTTACGGTTTTTTACAGGCGAGAAAGGAGACCGTGGTGTTCCCGGACTTGATGGACAGCCAGGATTGCCTGGAGAACCCGGACGACCAGCACCGCAACAACTACAGAAAGAGGGCGCTCCTGGCCTGCCAGGCCATCCCGGCCTCCCAGGACTTAAGGGTGAAGCCGGCCCGGCCGGAATCCCTGGCGAGCCCGGACTACCCGGCCTTCCTGGCGCACCTGGTCACAAAGGAGATACTGGCTACCCCGGACCCCCCGGTCTGCCTGGAGGCCCCGGAATGCCCGGCGACAAAGGATTTGCCGGAGTGCCCGGCCTACCCGGTATTCCCGGCCCGAAGGGTGACGGCGGACAACCCGGTTTCCCCGGACGCGAAGGACCCAAGGGGGAGCCCGGCGCGTCGGGCGTCGGACAGCCCGGACCACCTGGCTTCCCAGGACTGAAGGGAGATTCTGGACTGCCCGGCACACCTGGACTGCCCGGTCTCGACGGACAACCTGGACAGCCCGGATACCCCGGAAGCAAGGGAGACGCTGGCCTGCCTGGCATCCCCGGCCAAGCCGGCTTCCCCGGCACTAAGGGCGATGCTGGACAACCTGGACTACCTGGTCAGTCCTTCCTCATTTTATGCGGATAATTAGTGCAATTTGACTAAAGAAAAATTATTAAATATCGTCGTTTTGTAATCGCACAAATTAGCAAAGGCGGAAAAGGTGTGCCTAGGTGTAAAAGAAGGAATTTATAGCAAAAAGCTTAAAAGGTGAAAAGATCTTGTTAGTGGAGTGGGCAATGAAGCAGTTTTAGGTGCCCCTGGCTTGGAGGGCGAGTGTGGACCCGAAGGACCACCCGGATATCCCGGAGCTAAAGGAGATTCCGGCATCCCTGGCCTACCCGGCATCCCAGGCCTGAAGGGAGAAGCTGGACCGCAGGGCCCATCTGGATACCCGGGTTCCCCCGGCTCACCTGGATACCCCGGCGTCAAGGGACTTCCTGGAATCCCTGGAGTTCCAGGCCAAAAAGGCAAGCACCTTGGCCATTCATTAGCATCCATATAACCATTTATCCTATGCAATTTACATTCTCCGATTCAGGTGACTCTGGCACACCCGGATACCCTGGAGCTCCTGGGCTGAAGGGCAACACTGGAGAGAATGGGCTTCCTGGACTTCCAGGAACAAAGGGTAACTCGGGACTACCCGGCCAGCCCGGACGCGACGGAATGCCCGGCGTGCCCGGCATCAAAGGCGACCGCGGTTTCAACGGATTGCCTGGTCTGAAGGGAGAACCCGGATTGGCTGCTCGAGATGGACAGAAGGGAGATGCCGGCCTACCAGGACAACCCGGTCTGCGCGGAACACCCGGCAATCCTGGACTCCCCGGAATTCCGGGCCCGAAAGGAGAAGCCGGACCCGCTGGATATGGACAACCCGGACACCCTGGAGAAAAGGTAAGGGAAGAAGAGATTGCAAGCGTCTTCGATTTAGACAATAGAGAAATTTTACTTGCGCTTCCTTTGAATTTTTTCTAACGCTATTCTAACGTTTCTAACGATCTAACGATAATCTTTGTCTAGGTAATAATCGAAAAAGAAAACGTGCGGAAAAAATTAATTCTTCTTTTCAGGGATTGGCTGGTATTCCTGGCAAAGCCGGGCGACCCGGAGCCCCCGGTGCCCCCGGACAAGATGGGCTCCCCGGCTTCCCTGGATTGAAGGGTGAAGCGGTATGTTTTTCTGGTTTTTTTTGTGACGATTAGACTCGATAAGGGATATTTCGGTCTTTTAGGGCTATCCTGGAGCACCCGGACTGCCCGGCAACGATGGCGTCCCCGGTCTGCCGGGACTGAAGGGCGAATCGGGACCATCTGGACTTCCTGGTGTCCCCGGTGAACCAGGACAATCTGGACCCATGGGACCGCCTGGCATTCGCGGCGAAAAGGGAGAATCTGGCCTTCCTGGTACGTTAATAGGATTTGATCGTGGCCGTACGATTAATGACCAAAGAGTTCGAGGTGCAACGAGGGTTAGGGTGCATTAAGGAGGTGTAAGAGGTGTGGTGCAGCCATTCGAATATGTTTGCCGTAGTGTTTGCGTTCTTTTCACGTCCCTACACCTGACTACATCTTTTGGTGACATCTCCCATTGGTGGCAGATGCAAAAGTTAGAGCATAGAGGCAATTTTAAGCCCGCAACAGGAGTTGATTAAAAAAATCCTGGCCATAGTTAGTGGATTGGTTTTTCAGGCCTTCCCGGTGACGCTGGCCTTGATGGTGTGCCCGGAATGAAGGGCGATGCTGGATATCCGGGACAACCGGGCCTGCCTGGTGGTTCTGGCGAGAAGGGCAATTCTGGAGCTCCTGGATTCCCAGGATTGAAGGGTTTGGCCGGACAGCCAGGTCTACCTGGACTACCTGGAATGGTTGGCCAGAAGGGAGAACTTGGAACTCCTGGACTGCCTGGACATGACGGCGGACCCGGTTATCCTGGAGAAAAGGGAGATGCCGGCTTGCCTGGTCAACCCGGTCTGCCTGGTAAGTTACCCTGGAAACTACGATTGACTAACATAACAGAAGCACTCAATACTGTAATGCAATAAATTCTGAAGTGTATTTTGATTTTGCAGGACAAGGCTTCCCCGGTTTGCCCGGTCAGCCCGGCCAGCCGGGAATTAACGGACACGATGGTCTACCTGGTCTTCCTGGCATGAAAGGAGATAGCGGACAACCCGGATATCCTGGAGCACCAGGAGCGAAGGGAGATTCCGGACTTCCCGGCTTCCCCGGACAAAAGGGTAAGTCATTTCGCAGCGGAGTTAGCTACAGCGATGCACCAAAAACGCATCGGACAGGAGAAACAACGGATCGGGATGAAGTTGATAGGGAATCTGCCAAAATCTCGAAAATCACAATCTCGAATTTGCAGAGTCTCGAAAATTAGAATCTTCAATTCACAGCATAGCGAATTCCGAGTCAAATTCAGAATGAACCAATGTTGAAAAGCCGCTGCGACTTTTCAACCCTGGCCCCGTCCGGACAAATGAAATTGTAAACCTTGCATAATTCTGCCTCAATAATGCTGACAAAAATGAAAAGATTTCCTTCCATCCCTTTATATAGGCTTCTTCTATTTCCGGTATATGCTAATTGTTTCCTAATAAAGAGGGTTCCCGAAAATTTTAGAAAAATTAATTTTTAGTATCGAAAATAGCTTATTTTGATAATTCTGAGAAATTTGCAGTCATCGCAGAGCCATTACGCACCTAATGATGTATCATACGGACCCTAAAATTCATCCCCTATTGAGTTATCCTCCGGACATAGAGACGGAAGCTGCTTGCAAATCGACACACACACATAGACACTATTTTTTTAGACATAGTAGGATCAAGATTAAGGCTACAGGAATTACCGCTTACGCCCTGCATCCAGCCTATGCAAATTTCGAGATTCCGAAAATTCGAGATTCTGAAAATTTCAGATTTTGAAAATTCGGGAGTTCGATAATAAGGAAATTTGATATTTTCATTTTCGTGATTTTAAAAATGGAGAAGCAGTGTTTTTTATCAACCGCGTTTTTCAGCACGAACCGTTGGTAAATCGTGTAATCCAGTTTCCACTTTGCAGGCGAATCCGGTCTTCCTGGCGTGCCTGGCAAACGTGGCGAAGATGGCTTACCTGGTCTGCCTGGACGCGAAGGACTTCCCGGTGTACCTGGAACTAAGGGTGAACGTGGACCGGCTGGCCCCTCGGGTCAACCTGGCTATCCTGGAATCCCCGGCCTAAAGGGTACGTTGTAAATTGCATCAAAGAAGGAAAACGACCCAGTACAGTACCTATCTTGGGCTTTGGCGCAGGCTTAGTCTTAAGTGACTCATCCACCCCATCCATCTCAAGCCCCGAACTAAATATAATTTTTTTAGGCGAGAGCGGACTGCCAGGCTTCCCAGGCGCAAAGGGTGACTCTGGCCTCCCGGGAGCACCAGGATTCCCCGGAGCCCCAGGTATGAAAGGAGAGCTGGGTGTCCCCGGCCTTCCTGGACGCGATGGACCCCCTGGACTCGATGGGCAGCCCGGATTGCCCGGCCCACCCGGACCCGAGCCGTTGGTGCAACCTGGAGAGAAGGGAGATGCAGGACGTCCTGGTCTACCAGGTTAATACTTTTTATTAAAATCCATAGCTACGGGGCGGTGCGAATCTTAGTATCTCAAGGCACCGCACATGCTTGTGTATTTGAGACAGGCAACAGCTTGCACGGCGAGCCATCATCTTTTCCAATAATGTTTCCGAAAATCAGGAATTCAAACAATTTGCATTGCGGCCATTACTAATGACGGTTGGACGCAAATTTTTGGAAATATGATTTTCGAAAACATTACTTTTGAAAAATACGAATCCCGCAGATATGACTTCTCGAAAAATGATTTCGAAAAAGTGATTTTCGGAAAAATTATTTTCGCAACTGTGCATGGAAATCGTTTGTGTTTTCCAGGTATTCGCGGCGAAAAAGGCCTACCGGGACTAGATGGACCACCGGGGCCGGCGGGACCTCCTGGTCTTCCTGGTACACGCGGTAATGACGGATACCCCGGCGTGCCCGGAAACCTCGGTGAAAAGGGAATGGCCGGTCTGCCTGGGTTCCCGGGTCTGGATGGACCACCAGGAGGGTAGGTTGAATCTGCCATTTTGAACTGACACTTTGCTTAAACAAAAAGGCTAAATTAGCGCTGCGCCGATTATGGAAAATTGGCTTTTCTAGATGTACTATGTTCGAAAATCGTCCAGCTAAATCCTTTTAACACCCCTTTGAAGGATTTTTGCACGAATTACATAGGTGCTTACTAGGCGACTCCACCTGTAAAATTTGCTTATCGCTTGACGGTGCTGGGCTGTTAGCGGGTGGTTGCGGAATCTTTAGGGAAAACCAAATTTTTCACTGTAATTCTCTACGACCCTATAACAAAATATTAACCATTTTTCTTGCATTTTAAATAGTTTTTAGATATACAAACAATTATAAAAATTCTTATAAATTTTCGAAATTATTGGCTTTTTGGTCATCATTGCATGAAAAATGACCAAAAAAGGCCAAAATTTTCGAATTTCCAAAACTTTTAATTAATCAAAAACTTCTAAGAACACGATGAAAATATATTATATACTACAGGTATAGCTGGAAAAACAGAAGCGCTTTTCCCCCTGCTAAAAATACCTCCCCTCCGTTAATAGTCCAGAACCCGAATGTCTTTCAAACAGAGGAATTTAACAGTTAGTCTCCGGATAAGCTATTTTCGGACAACAATAGACAATCGTTAGCTTTCTACCATTAAGTGCCACTGCGAACACTATAATTTTCAGACCAGGCCAGCCCGGTTTGCCAGGTGCCCCGGGGGCCCCTGGGCCAAGCTACAAGGACGGTTTCCTGCTTGTCAAGCACTCTCAAACCAAGGACATCCCGACTTGCCCGGAGGGTCAAACTAAACTTTGGGACGGCTACTCCTTGCTTTACATCGAGGGCAACGAAAAGTCGCACAACCAAGATCTTGGTAAGTGGAGCTATCGTTGTTGCGGAAAACAACCATCGCGCGCAATAATTGTACTTCCTGTTATACGGGGTGCCCCAAAACCTACCCACCATAGCGGCGCGCAGTCGTCCCCGACTTGCAAGATTTAGGTATCAATCGTAAGCTCTCGAAAAGGCGAGAAAGCCACTTTCTTTATTATGTCCTTTCATCTGTGTTGTTTACATCCGAAAACCATGAAATGGCAGATTTCTGTAAGATCTGCATGCTAAGTGAAAAATTTCTATTCGAAAGCTACTTGTTTTTTTTAAGAAAAATGATGATGGATATTTTTTCGACGATTTGGTTGATTTTCAGCTAAAGCCGAACAGGGGGACGTTTTTTAGTGGCAATCGAACTTTGGCACTAGACCAAGCCTACGTGGTCCAAATTTTACGCTGATTCTTCACCGGTTTTCAAAATCTGCGCAACAAACAAATTCAACAAGTTTTTTATTTATTCTTCAGGGCACAAAAAGGCACCATTTGTCGATCGGCCATTTTGGGCCATTGTCGCCCTTAAGAGCATCAGAACCTTTTCACTTTGATCGTCTTGCAGCTTTTGCCGACTAATTCGGAATCAGAAAAAAAAATCCGCACAAGATAAATTTAATCGTGTACAGAAATTCGATTGCCACTAAAAAACATCTCCTGGTAAGCATGACTTTCAATCGCGTTAACCTGATGGATCTAGGCCACGCCGGTTCTTGCCTGAGGCGTTTCTCCACCATGCCATTCCTGTTCTGCGACTTCAACAACGTGTGCAACTACGCGTCACGCAACGATAAGAGCTACTGGTTGTCGACGACGGCCGCGATCCCGATGATGCCGGTGGCCGAGCAGGAAATTGAACCCTTCATCTCGCGCTGTTCCGTGTGCGAAGCGCCAGCCAACGTTATCGCCGTGCACTCGCAGACCATCCAGATTCCCAACTGCCCGAACGGGTGGCGCTCATTGTGGATTGGCTACTCATTTGCCATGCACACTGGAGCCGGAGCGGAAGGCGGCGGCCAGTCACTCAGGTTGGCGATCGAACGCTCGAAATTATTTTTACGTGAATTGACTTTTAGGAAAACCGCTTTTTCTCAACGATGAAACAAGCAAAAATGCTTGCGGTTAGAGCGTACAAAATGGCCAAATAGCCGCCGGTTAGGGGGTCGATCTCGCCGCACCAATACTGGTGTCGCCCGCCCAAAAACATAGCCTTAGGCGACGCGTTGTCACATCTGCGCTTTCCAGGATATCCTTATCTAACTTTTCCAAGCAGTCATTAGTGGTATCCCACGGTTGAAAAGCCGCTGCGCGGCTTTTCACCCCCGGCCCCCGTCTAGGCCCAATGACAAAAAGACCTTGCATATTCTGCCCGAATCCCTCGGACAAAAATGAGAAATATCCTCTGTCGCTTGATTTTATATGCGATATCCACTTCCGGCGCATGCAAATTTTCCCTAACAAAGGCACTTTCATAAGAGCCAAATTTAATATCGAAAATAGTAAATTTTTAAAATCTAATAGGTCGGCAGTCATCTCCAGTCCATTACGGACCTTTACGAAAATCATTATGACGTATCAAACATTCCGTAAGGCTTCTTCCCTGACCCATTATGAGCGGTACATACATCCGGAAGTGGATGCAAATATACACAGACACACACACATACACTCTATTTTTTATATATAGTACGAATCGTAATTTTCTTAAAAATCTGATGAACGTGCAGTAATTTACGCCATCGACTACCCCTAAACGCCTTTCGACTGGGCCTTAAAATTCTTTCCCCTTCTCGAAATCTTGGAAACCCTGTTTTTTCGAGCTATTTATGCAAACTGCCCACACACACATACGCATGATTTATTTATAGATAGTAGGATAAATAGGGCTGGATAAAAGGGCTGGGTAGCCCAGAAATAAACCCACAAGCTAATCAAGGCAGCATAACAAACCACCCAACCTGAAAATAACCTTTAAACTGTACTCATTTCCAGCTCACCGGGATCTTGCCTCGAAGACTTCCGCGCCACTCCCTTTATCGAGTGCAATGGCGCCCGCGGTTCTTGCCATTACTTCGCCAACAAATTTTCGTTCTGGCTGACAACAATTGAAAACGACCAGGAGTTCCGGGTACGTGACCGTTGCAAATAAGCTTAGACTTGCTCCCAGATGGATATTATGCGTTCGAGCTGGAGCCTGAAATCCTTTCCTTTAAAAGTCGATCCTCGATCGACTTTTAAAGGAAAGGATTTCCTCGATCCCGTCGGCATCCCTTTAAAGGTCTTCCAAAAAAATCATATATTATTGAGCCTGGTTACAAAAAGACGGAAATAAACCTTTTTGCAACAACCAGCTCCAAGACCGTACTAACTCTGTTTTTTTTTTTGAAAGGGGATTTGGTCAGAATTTCAAGTTCTATTGAACCGACCCTCATCTGCAACCCCAAAAGCACCTAAATGAATCATTGAGGATAATTAGATGAACAGTTGAAAGTGACCAACCCATTGCTTCTGATGAATTTATTTTATTACTACCACAAAGTTACTTACATGCATAACGTTCACAAATGGAGGATAGAGCTTGTTAAGTTTCTTCCTAGGAGGATAGACGATTGAATAAGATCACTTTTCAGACGCCCGAATCGCAGACCTTGAAGGCGGGGTCTCTGAGAACACGCGTCTCGCGCTGCCAGGTTTGCATCAAGTCACCGGACAGCCGGTACTAGTTTCCCCATCAAATCTTCACTTTATCATACCCCCTATCGCCTTTCCGCCCATTTTCCACGACAACCATTAATTGCGAAAATACGCTCCGGTCCCACCGTCACTGCCCTCCTCTTCTGCCGTTCAATTTTCCAACCTTTGTTGTGCTTCGTTCAAGTCGTCTTTTTTGGAATAAATAAGTTATTATTACACTTGAGTATCGGAAATTTGCTTGACACGGGACTTGTTGGTAAGCCTTCAGGTAAAGGTCGCTTAACGGGGGAGGAATAGGAAAACTTTTCCCTGTAAGGACGGGTCGTGCCACTTCAAGCATGCCTTGGAATAAAGCGTCAAAAAATATAATAAGAGAATTAATTTTGGCCCGAAATAATATACTTTAAAGTCGCTATTAAAGAAACTCATTGTCAGCCATGGGCCGTCCACGGCGTATAAAGAGAAAGTGACCGCAATTCTCGGTATTTTTGGCTGTTTTAACGGCATTTCATGAATGCCATCGGATAGAGCATAACAAATATACTAGGAGATTTAATTTCAGCCCGAAATCATGTATTATAAATCAGTTATTAAAAAACAAAACCATCGGCTTTTCATCCTACCCTATAAGCGAGAAAAGTATGTGTGTTTTCTGTACGGCCGTATTCTCGGCCGTCAGGCCGAGTTTCGAGCTGATTTTTGGCATGGGGGTGGGAAATGCCATTTATAAAAACGGTTTTTTGGATTTTTTGAAATTCTTCCATTTAACGATTTTACAAGCAAAAATGTGAAAAATCTTTAACATTTTTGGGTGCGCAAGTTGTCCGGAACTTTTCTCGGTGCCCAGAGGGAATTGGGGCCTCATTTTTAGAGGGTAGATGGCAAAAGTAATTCCCCAGATACATTTTTTCGGATTTTGCAAAATTCTTCAAACTAAAGTTTTTATAAGAATTTCTCTGAAAGGTCCTTAATAAATTGCGTCACGGGCCGTGGTGTCCGGGCCATAACGCGAAGCCCAGATGGAATTTGGGGCTGGAATTTGGACAACTTATGTATTCGATAGTGGGGATCACGCGCATCTTATTATCTTTACAAACTTTTAACAGATTCAGGCTAAAAAATCGAATTTTGTAAAGTGAGCTGAAAGCCTCCCTCCGGGATCATTGGTCGCCCTTATCTTTGCCCCCCTCCTCTCCAGGACGGAAGAGGCCTTTCCCGCCGCCTCTTCCCATGTCCCCCATGGTGTAGTGGATTAGCGCTCGGTCTACCACGCGCAAGGTGGCGGTTTCGGATCCTGGGAGAATCCTATGTTTTGCTTTTTGGTTGTTCGGTAACAAAATATATTTCTAGGCCCTCGATGGGAGAGGTTTGGGCCTGGCCTTCGCTCTAGCGCCGCAGGCCCCAGAAAAGGCCCTTGGTCCAGGCTCTCGCGCCGCAGGCCCAAGAAGAGGTCCCTGGCCAGGGCTCTCGCGCCGCAGGCCAGATCCTGGAGAAAAACCAGTAACTAGCGCCGCAGGCTCACAGATTCTAGCGGAACGCTGGCTCTCGCGCCGCAGGCCAAACAATGGCTCCTTGAGTCAGGTTCTAGCGCCGCAGGCTAATAAAACGAAGGTATTCAAATTCATGGTTCCGGGACTGGGTCCAGTGGAAAATGGCCGCGAAGCGGTCTTTTTCCACTGGTGAAGTATAACCATAAGGCTATCGTCATTTTCGGCGTTTCTACTTTGGTTGGTCAGATAGTTAATCTGATTCAGTTTTTACGCTGATTTCGAATATGCAACTCGTTTTTGCCCAGGCCCTTTAGTTTTCGAGTCAGTCATCAGCCAACCAGCCCTCGACAGGAACTCGCCCTGGACTAGAGCAAAGCAGTAGTCGTCCCTGAAGGTGATACCTCGCTCTCGGGGAAATTTAAGGTTTCTATCCTCCAACCACTTGGCCTAGTGAGCTCCGCCACCAGTACGACTTCTAATCACATTAGTGCGGATTTGGATACCAGCAGACCAAAAAAACCGTGGCTTAGGCTTAGGCTTAGGCTTAGGCTTAGGCTTAGGCTTAGGCTTAGGCTTAGGCTTAGGCTTAGGCTTAGGCTTAGGCTTAGGCTTAGGCTTAGGCTTAGGCTTAGGCTTAGGCTTAGGCTTGAAGGCTTAGGCTTAGGCTTAGGCTTAGGCTTAGGCTTAGGCTTAGGCTTAGGCTTAGGCTTAGGCTTAGGCTTAGGCTAGGCTTGGGCTTAGGCTTGGGACAGGCTTAGGCTTAGGCTTGGGCTTAGGCTTAGGCTTGGGCTTGGGGCAGGCTTAGGCTTAGGCTTGGAGCTTAGGCTTGGGCTTAGGCTTGGGCTTAGGCTTAGGCTTAGGCTTGGGCTTAGGCTTGGGCTTGGGCTTGGGCTTAGGCTTGGAGCTTAGGCTTAGGCTTAGGCTTAGGCTTAGGCTTAGGCTTAGGCTTAGGCTTAGGCTTAGGCTTGGGCTTAGGCTTAGGCTTAGGCTTAGGCTTAGGCTTAGGCTTAGGCTTAGGCTTAGGCTTGGGCTTAGGCTTAGGCTTAGGCTTAGGCTTAGGCTTGGGCTTGGGCTTAGGCTTGGGCTTGGGCTTAGGCTTAGGCTTAGGCTTAGGCTTAGCTTAGGCTTAGGCTTGGGCTTAGGCTTAGGCTTAGGCTTAGGCTTAGGCTTAGGCTTAGGCTTAGGCTTGGAGGGCTTAGGCTTGGGCTTAGGCTTAGGCTTAGGCTTGGGCTTAGGCTTAGGCTTAGGCTTGGGCTTAGGCTTGAGGCTTGGGCTTGGGCTTAGGCTTAGGCTTAGGCAGGCCTAGCTTGGGCTTAGGCTTAGGCTTAGGCTTGGGGCTTGGGCTTAGGCTTAGGCTTAGGCTTAGGCTTAGGTTAGGCTTAGGCTTAGGCTTAGGCTTAGGCTTAGGCTTAGGGGCTTAGGCTTAGGCTTAGGCTTAGGCTTAGGCTTAGGCTTAGGCTTAGGCTTAGGCTTAGGCTTAGGCTTAGGCTTGAAGGCTTAGGCTTAGGCTTAGGCTTAGGCTTAGGCTTGGGCTTAGGCTTAGGCTTAGGCTTAGGCTTAGGCTTAGGCTTAGGCTTAGGCTTGGGCTTAGGCTTAGGCTTAGGCTTAGGCTTAGGCTTGGGCTTAGGCTTAGCTTAGGCTTAGGCTTAGGCTTAGGCTTAGGCTTAGGCTTAGGCTTAGGCTTAGGCTTAGGCTTGGGCTTAGGCTTAGGCTTGGAGGCTTAGGCTTAGGCTTAGGCTTAGGCTTAGGCTTAGGCTTAGGCTTAGGCTTAGGCTTAGGCTTAGGCTTGGGCTTAGGCTTAGGCTTGAGGCTTAGGCTTAGGCTTAGGCTTAGGCTTAGGCTTAGGCTTAGGCTTAGGCTTAGGCTTAGGCTTAGGCTTAGGCTTAGGCTTAGGGCTTAGGCTTAGGCTTAGGCTTAGGCTTAGGCTTAGGCTTAGGCTTAGGCTTAGCTTAGGCTTAGGCTTAGGCTTAGGCTTAGGCTTAGGCTTAGGCTTAGGCTTAGGCTTGGGCTTAGGCTTAGGCTTAGGCTTAGGCTTGGGCTTAGGCTTAGGCTTAGGCTTAGGCTTAGGCTTAGGCTTAGGCTTAGGCTTAGGCTTAGGCTTAGGCTTAGGCTTGAGCTTAGGCTTAGGCTTAGGCTTAGGCTTAGGCTTAGGCTTAGGCTTAGGCTTAGGCTTAGGCTTAGGCTTGGGCTTAGGCTTAGGCTTAGGCTTAGGCTTAGGCTTAGGCTTAGGCTTAGGCTTAGGCTTAGGCTTAGGCTTGGGCTTAGCTTAGGCTTAGGCTTAGGCTTAGGCTTAGGCTTAGGCTTAGGCTTAGGCTTAGGCTTAGGCTTAGGCTTAGGCTTAGGCTTAGGCTGAGGCTTAGGCTTAGGCTTAGGCTTAGGCTTAGGCTTAGGCTTAGGCTTAGGCTTAGGCTTAGGCTTAGGCTTAGGCTTAGGCTTAGGCTTAGGCTTAGGCTTAGGCTTAGGCTTAGGCTTAGGCTTAGGCTTAGGCTTAGGCTTAGGCTTAGGCTTAGGCTTAGGCTTAGGCTTAGGCTTAGGGCTAGGCTTAGGCTTAGGCTTAGGCTTAGGCTTAGGCTTAGGCTTAGGCTTAGGCTTAGGCTTAGGCTTAGGCTTAGGCTTAGGCTTAGGCTTAGGCTTAGGCTTAGGCTTAGGCTTAGGCTTAGGCTTAGGCTTAGGCTTGGGCTTAGGCTTAGGCTTAGGCTTAGGCTTAGGCTTAGGCTTAGGCTTAGGCTTAGGCTTAGGCTTAGGCTTAGGCTTAGGCTTAGGCGCTTGAGGGGCTTAGGCTTAGGCTTAGGCTTAGGCTTAGGCTTAGGCTTAGGCTTAGGCTTAGGCTTAGGCTTAGGCTTAGCTTAGGCTTAGGCTTAGGCTTAGGCTTAGGCTTAGGCTTAGGCTTAGGCTTAGGCTTAGGCTTAGGCTTAGGCTTAGGCTTAGGCTTAGGCTTAGGCTTAGGCTTAGGCTTAGGCTTAGGCTTAGGCTTAGGCCAGGCTTAGGCTTAGGCTTAGGCTTAGGCTTAGGCTTAGGCTTAGGCTTAGGCCTAGGCTTAGGCTTAGGCTTAGGCCAGGCTTAGGCTTAGGCTTAGGCTTAGGCTTAGGCTTAGGCTTAGGCTTAGGCTTAGGCTTAGGCTTAGGCTTAGGCTTAGGCTTAGGCTTAGGCTTAGGCTTAGGCTTGGGCTTGGGCTTAGGCTTAGGCTTAGGCTTAGGCTTAGGCTTAGGCTTAGGCTTAGGCTTAGGCGTAGGCTTAGGCTTAGGCTTAGGCTTAGGCTTAGGCTTAGGCTTAGGCTTAGGCTTAGGCTTAGGCTTAGGCTTAGGCTTAGTCTTAGGCTTAGGCTTAGGCTTAGGCTTAGGCTTAGGCTTAGGCTTAGGCTTAGGCTTAGGCTTAGGCTTAGGCTTAGGCTTAGGCTTAGGCTTAGGCTTAGGCTTAGGCTTAGGCTTAAGAGCTTAGGCTTCAGGCTTAGTTGCTTAGGCTTCAGGCTTAGGCTTAGCTTAGGCAGCTTAGGCTAGGCTTAGGCTTAGGCTTAGGCTAGGCCTTAGGCTTAGGCT